ACTTTTTCAAACATAATTAGGCGCTCTGAAGTACAATTCAGGGAAGCAATCGCGCCAATGATCGCGATGAAGAATATACGAAGAAAATCGCAAGTCTCACGTTAAATAACATCTCATCGAACGTTTCAGTCATCGATTACTAGACGGGACTCGTATTCCTTACGATTCCTCGCAGGTGGCTATGATACGGTGCCTCGATACGAAATATTCATTTCCGTGAGAAATATTTATTATTTGATAAGCATCGCGCATCGCGCGCAATATTGCGGCACCTCTCGAGGCGAGTTTCCTCCGTAGCAATAACCGTCTGTCAACCTTTCTCAAAGCAGTCATGCGAGGCAACATAAAAAAACCGACACACCTGGTCGAGGTTGAAAAAGGACATGTCGCGGAGGGGACACCCCAAAAACGCATGCATTCTTTCGCGCCCTTTCTTCCCGAGACCTTTCATTCCGCTCTAGTCTTTTATCCTCTCTCTCTCTCTCCCTCTCTCTCTCTCTCTCTCTCTCTCTCTCTCTCTCTCTCTCTCTCTCTCCCTCTCTCTCTCTCTCTCTCTCTCTCTCGCGACGATTCTCCGGGAAGCCACACAGCAAAGTTTTGCATCCACGCGAGGCGTTGGGCAAGCCTTATCAAACTTATCAAACAGCCTCGTTCTTTTATTCGTTCGTTGTGTAAAGTTACAAAAATCGTTCGAGTAAGTTTCACTTACGATTGCAGTGCATTGCCTATTACATGGAAACGTCGGAAATCATTTTTACCATTTTTTATTATTCGCAATGAAAGTGAAAGTCGATGAGTAACAGACAATCTCGACGGCGATCGATCCCTTTGCCGGATCAAGCCGGATTTACGCTATCCCTTTAGACATGGTCAGACAAAAAGTCTCCCGATCCTCCATCGAATTTATTTTCAATGGAGACGGTCGAGATGTGACGATGGCGGATATAATCCGTGAATACTCCAACGCGAAAGCGTTGAAAAATATTTTGTCGAAGAGTTTATACAGTTTAATTTATCCTGCTTGCCGTCGCCTAGACGGGATTTGAATCCAGCCTTACACAACGACGGAACGTACTCCGCTCGCCAGCGAATATTACACTCTCGAGTAATGATCGGTTGCAAACGTGTCAAAATAGAACGACGGGCATTGAGTAACGCTCGACCGCGGCTTCGATTGACGGCAGTGTGACTGACCTTTTAGCGCGGTTACGTAAAACGCAAAAATGCACGCGCGAGAGGCGCGGAAAGTTTTGCAAAATAATTACGTCATTGAATAATGAAGTCTCGCAAAATAATTAATCGGTGTGATTTGTTTTTGTCCGCCACGATATCACGAGTGCGATAAGGACGACGAGATATCCCCCGTTACCCTCCACCGTCACGCCTTCGTGAGTCTCTTCATTGTCCGATGCAGATGTGAGATTTATCTATCTGGTTACCGTCTGTTTATCTATCTGTCCATTTATCTGTTTATCTGTGGATCGGCCGGTCGATAGAGCGAACCCCCTCGCGCCTACCAGCTTAAATCACGTTCGCGTTAACGAGCTGTTGGACGGTTCGACGATTATTCACTTAAGCTCGGCGAGCGATCTCGTGGAATATATTAGAAAGGTAAGTGATTGTTCGATCCTTGCCACCTCGGGCGAGGGACGAAGGATCGCTTCCCACCGCAAGGTGAGACGAACATATCGTGCAGCGGAAGGGAACGACTCGGTCCGACATCTCGAACGTTTCTTCTTTTCAACACTGCGACACCGCTCCCTCGAGGCCGGCTAAGACACAAGTGTTTCGACTTGAGGTACACGCGTGTATCGACGGTCTTCCGGCGATTAAGCGGGCGGGAAACAATGAGAAATCGCGAGTCGCGTTTACCAGGTCGCGGTGATACGCAATATGTCGCAAGAGGATTTTCATCGGAGACGCGAAGCGACGCTGTTATCTTGACGGCCGGACGAGAGAAATCTTAACGACAGCCGGTGAGGGAGAGATAAAAGTTCGGAAAAGACTGGAGGATGAGGAAAAGCACGTATCTCTCGGTAACAATGTCGAGCTTCGATTCTTCTCCCCGCTCTCCTGCAACTCCGCGGCAGCAGCCTCGTTACTGCAGAATCGCGTTAGCGCGAGCTCCGACTCGGCGAGAAAGCCGGCTGTGATACGCAATGCGCAACAGCGAAAACATGCCCCGCGTTTGTGGATTTTAATTTGATAATTTCAATTTGCGTCACGACCGCCTTCGTAAGAGCGCGACTATGAGATTGACATCGGCGGGGAAAGAGAGCGCGAGCGATAGTCCAGCAAGTGAGCCGTAAAATGACAAAATATCGAGCCGGGTTACTGGAAAACTCTCTCGGAACTCTTCCTCCGTTCGCCGTCCGCTCGCTGTCACTGAGCCTCGCTTCGCGTTAATATGTTTCATAAGCGTGTGTCAAGTCGATTTTCTCAATCCGCCGCGTCAACTATGAATGAGTAACGCGCGCGCGGCTATTGTCACGACTTCGCGCCCGCGCGAAGCACGACGGCCGATGTGCGTTTATCGTCCTGGGATCACGTTCATCGATCTTGTTTGTCGATCTCCCCAGAGATCGAGGCCGATGAGACGTCTCTGGAGTCTCGTCTGGGAGGCATGATAATCCGTCGACGATTGCGCTCCAGAGATCTCGTTGAGTATACATGGGGATTTATTAACTACTTATTTGTTACAGTTGCTTTATTATATTAATTAATTATTAATTAATTATTTAATTTATCATACTTAATTATAGTTTATTATCTGTTCTTAATACGCATACAGTTTAATATTGGATAAATTCCGCGCAGGTTATAAGTGGCAAAACGCCGGCTACCGAAGCGTTCGAACTTGTAAGCGGAGAAAGAGAGATTTGGAATTCAGGAAAAGTTAAAATGGAGAGACGTGAGATCAGAGCAGAAATTGTCAGATTGCGGAAAGCGTTGTACCTGCGAGGAAACTCGGCAAACAGAAAAATCCACGTCCTGTTCCGTGGAGGAAGGATTTAGAATTTATACTACTGTGATCAAAAAGTATCCGAACTTTATTTTTTAAAAATCGCGGGTAAACTATAAATCAAATCCGTTTGCTTTTTTAAGTTGGTACACATGTCCTTCACATTTGGTGAAGAAATCATGGCGTTCCTTCAAGCCGTTTGAATGATTTTTACGATGTCGAAAAAGATGGAGTAAAGAATTCGTTTGAAATTTTGTGTTACGAACGAAATTTCGTTCACAAACGCATTCCAAATATTGCAAAAAGCTTGTGGCGATGATTGTTTATCGAAAACAAGTATGTTTGAGTGGTTTAAGAAGTTTCAAGAATCCGTTGAAGACGATCTCTGGAAGACCATCAACATCAACGCCGATGACGCTCACATTGAGAAAGTGAAAGAATTGGTGCTCCAAAATCGTCGATTGACTATGCGAGAGATAACAGATGAAGTTGGAATATCATTTGGATCGTGCCAGCACAGTCAATCCGTAAGAAACGACCAGAATTGTGGGAAAACCAGCTCGTGGATTTTGCATCATGATAACGCACTATCGCATACTTCGACACTTGTGACGCGTGAATTTCTGACAAAAAACTCAACGTATGTCGCTCCGCAAGCACCGTATTCACCAGACATGGCCCCCTGTGACTTTTTCCTGTTCCCCCTACTGAAAAAACTATTTCGCGGACAGTGTTTCGAATCGATTTACGACATGAAAGAAAAATCGTTGCGTGAATTGAAGGCCATACCGTCCTGCCGCGTATGTTTCCTGGACTGGATCAAACGTTGGCATATGTGCGTTGCAAGCAATGGGGACTATTTTGAAGGAGACTATAAGAATTTTGATGATTGAATTGTAATTTTGATTCTTAAAAATAAAGTTCGGATACTTTTTGATCACAGTAGTATTCCAGCGGATAAATTTAGACCGGATCGTGGGAGAGACCGCTTGTCGTTGCACATTGTAACGTCGTTATCGCGCGAATTTATCATCGTGTTTTCGACACAACGCTGATTTCCGCGCGGGGGTCAGCGCTTACGCGTCGTCGGGTTACGCAATTTTTACGTATCGGCACCTCGCGCGCGTAATGTGTTTTTATCGCGCGCGATAAGTCCATAACAGGCGCTGGAATTCTCTCGCGTTTCCCAATAGGACGCAATACGATCAACGATCGTAAAACGACAACGAGACAATCGATTAATGACCCCCTGTTTAGACGCACCGCAATGGTCGGTTATTTTTGACGTCTCTCTTTTGACGTCTTTCGTGATCTTAGATATTCTCATCTCTGATATTGCGAATCCTTCGACGATTCCGAGAATCTAACCGGGTATACATGGGAATTTATCAACTACTTATTAATTATAGTTTATTACTTATTTTACCGAATTTGTTGTTATTATTTATTGAATTTATTATTATTATTTTACCGAAACGGGAATCCCCCGTCGGGGCAACATTCAATTTCAAATTCAACCAAAACGTTGATTTATCAAAATTAATTAACTATTGGCTGAGTACGAGTTAACTATCTGATAGTATCATTTAACCACGATTTCGTCGCCTGTTTCCCTCCTTGAAAACCGCCTCGACACGGAAAATCGTTATTCCCACTCGTCGATCCCCTAGGCACCCCGACATTTTCGCTTCGCGAAAGTCAGTATCAAATCGTCTGGGAAATTTTATTAATCCAAAAGTGGGAATCACGTCCAGCAAACGCAGAAGCATCCCACGCGTTGACATAGAAACGGTCATGAATCATCCGTTAGCCTCAGCGAGGGCTACCCTTAACCCTCACCCCCCCGTCCGGGAGGTCGCTATAGCGGGTTAGCTTAACGTTTACCAAGTCACTCTTCAACCTACAGAAAAAAAGTTCTAGTTCAAAAATCGCGAGAAAATCAGCCAAAGAAGCAGCCGGACTGTAAGGGTTAAAATCGCAGAAAGCGGCGTTCCAGGGGCGGCCGATGGGTCGCTCGATACGTCACCGGAGGGTGAGACGGCGTCGGTTGCGCGGAGCTCTCCCCTGCGCCCGTCCGCACGCAACTAACGCGCATACTCTCATCGCGATCACACACATACATACACACACACACACACACAGTTTCATAAATACATCGGGAGTACGCGCACGACGTCCACGGCACGGAGCAAGCGGGAGCGAGCGTCATTCAGAGCTCGACCAGCGCTCCGTGCAGACTCGGCGGCTCCGTCCGAAGCTTTCTCTTTCCTTCGTCCTCGTGCTGGCACGTGAGAAACCGCGCTCTCGCAGGTCTTCCTCCATCGAGATCGGTCTTTCTCCCCGAGAACGGGAGTGCGCGCGCGCGCGACAGTCGGAGCCGCAATCAGCGCGCGGGTGGTGCGACGACGGTGGTGCGATCCGAGAGGAACGTCCGCGAAGGCGAGGAAAGCGTCCGCGAAGTGCGATGGCCGGCGTCTGAGATCGATCCCACAGTGCGACGCGCCTGCGAATTTACCCCTTCGCACACACCTGGCCCCCGGTTGACCCGCAGCAGCAGCAGCAGCAGCGGCAGCAGCGGCAGCAGCAACGACGACGGCAGCCTGCGACGCATCTGCGAGCACGGGTGAGAGAAATCCGCGCGACGCGGCGCGGCGTCGCCTCCGCCAGCGGGAGTCTCGTCGTCGCGATCTTCAATGAAAAGTCTCGCGGAATCTCTCGGCACCGTCGCGAGACGTTAGGCCGAGGGCTGGCGTGCGCGAGGCGCGTCGAGCAGGCGCGACGTGCCCGTCGAATTCGCGAGGAAACGACGACCGTGACGAGCAGCTCGGCGTCGGCGTGCTGACGCGCGCGACGCGCAGTATGGCGGCCGAAGGGATGCATTGTGCGCCGTGCGACCTCGGGAAGGGCGGTTTCAGACGTGCGCGCGGCACCCCGAGAAGGTCTCGCGACGGCCTCACGCTCACTCGAGAGGGTGCTCTGCGGTACCGGGAATTCGAAGCCAGCCGCGTGCCGCTCGCGTCGGCTGGACTGCTCGTAAACACTACGCGGACCTCGGCGACGTCTCTTCGGCTGCTTTCCTACGGGTCTTTCGATCCGGCCAACCGACGATTCACTGGGCCGGCCGGAATTGCCAGCGTAGGAACTGAAAGATAGTTCGTCGCTGAAGCGAGTAAGAAATTTGCGCGTTTTTCGGCATTTGCAACGCGCGCGTTTCGATCTACTCAGTCTCTCAGTCTGCCGTTCATCGCTCTGCTAACCTAACATACACGGGATTGTTCAAGTTTCTGGTTATTGGCAATATTGGCAATGGTTGGCAATATTGCCGGCTGATTGACGACTGGTTTAATCGTAGGCTGGAGGAAATCGCTCTTACGGTGAAATCTCTGGTGAAGCGACGCACTGTAGGGCCAGATGACATTCTTTGGTTCAAAATTGTTTAGAGACTGAATTTCCAACCGATCATCGATACACCGATGGATGAGGTTGATCCTGAATAAATTCCGAAGAGATCTGTCTTGCCAAAATTTTGAAAAAAATTTTTTTCTCGAATTACTAATCTCAAAAGAGGAAAAATTATCATTAAACGCGAGAAACTTGTGGAATACTCATTATTCGGCACTTATTTCTATCTAATAGCGTATTGAGCGGATTGAAACTATGAAACCAATCAACAGACACTTCGAGATTTATCGATCTTGAACCAGAAACTCATTAACCCAAAACTCATATGCCCAAGATACAAAAACATCAAACATAGACCCGTTAAGCATAAAACCGAGAGATTTTAATCCTTAATTCTTTCTTAATGTGGGCTGAAATGATGAGCTTTGAAATTCTGAGTCTTCTAAAAAGTGATTATAAGTTCTGGGGTCTCGCATTTAGTATCCATAGGCTCGAATGCATTGAGGTCGAACCCAAGACACTGTACTTTAAACGATAAACTTTTAAGACAAACCCTAAACCCATGAACCCTGAACCGATAATTTTTTTCAAAATTTCGGCTAGACAGATCTCTTTGGAATTTATTCAGGACCAACCTCATCCATTGGTGTCTTCACCACCATTCTTTCGGAATCGCAAGAGCGTACGTTTCACTCAAGTAGAGATTGTTAGTCGTAGCGAATATTCCAGTCGATTAGGAGAATCTGTTCCACAGGAGCGAGTTGTTGAGACGGTGAAGCGTGTCGAATTCACCGCTCGATTTTGAATGAAAATGTTCGCTCTGCCATTCGGGATGAAAAAACTCACTCTGTACGGGTGAGAAATTACTCGAACACGCGCGACTCGAAGTGTCTTCTCCTTCTTGAAGTAACGCTATAAGTTAGAATGAAACGAGTATACTTTCTTTCAACAGTGTGCGTTCTATTTCAGAAGTTCTCCGAAAACGTATGGACCCTCGGCTGTCACTCTGCTTTTCGAGTAGAATCTCAATTTTTCTATTCAGAGAATTATGAAAATTGAAATTTCACCTCCCCCCCCTCCACAACCGATAAATGACTACGTGAAATTTTGGTACTCAACTCTCGGTGGTTTATATGTTGTTAGATCGCGATTAATCTATGTTGTTTTTTTACGAGCCGCAGAGTATCTTATTTAACGCTTTGATTAACGAGCAATCGTCGAGTGAGAAGAAGAGAAAGAGAGAGAGAGAGAGAAAAAGAAAGACAGATAAATTTATTATCAAATGAATGTCCTCCGGAATGTGAATGCGTTGATAATGCAAGCACGCTACAAACGCGATAAAGGTCGCGAGCGTAACAATGCTTATCTTAATATCGATCGCGCTTTATAAATAATGAACATGATACTTAAGAGCGTCGAATATTCAGCATCCTCTGCGCTCGCACGAAAACGAAACGAGCGAGTTCGTTTACGATGATGCTTTACGAAGCAGGCTACTCAGAGACCGCAGGAGATTCCGCCGGAAGTCAGCGATTCCTTCGCGAGTTTCGAAAGTGGACACGACGAAATCGAGAGTCTCTCGCGAAGATTCACGCGTTCTGAGTCCGCGGTGCCGACGGTTCCCCTCACCTCCGAGAAAGTGATGGACTTCAAAGATCGACGCGGGGAAATAATTTCCCCGAGAGAGAACAAACTTCCGGTTGTTCTTTCTTCCAGGATAACGAAAGAAGACTTGACTACCGCGTCTTCGTATTGCCGCTCGGCTCGCACATGCGACACGTCACCGCGTATCTTATTCGATAGATACGCTCATGCATAACGGACGTTCTATTTGGTCGATTCCCCACGTAAACAGCGTGAGCCTGCGGCATTAATGCGGCCGGCACGAGGAGGAAGCGGGCGCGGGACGAAAACTGGGTTTGGGAAACCCGGTCGGCGACCCACGTGGCCTATTGATTTTCTCGTCTCAGCCGTCACACTTCGCTCGCGCTGGCGAAACTGGCCCTTTCGCCATCGATGAGTCGCGCGCGCCGACGACGATGGCACTCGACGCGAGCGCGCTTGATAACGCGCATTAAATTATAGCCGCGAGGGGAGCTCGCGACTAGCGCCTGTAATTTCCGCGCCGACGAGGATCGGCCCACGTCGTTGTCGTTTGCAGCCGTCAGCCGTCTGGCCGTTAAACGGCGAGATGTCGATTTCGCGGCCGGAACGAGTACCGCTCGCGCCGTTTTCTGCGCGACCACGAGAAGAGGGAGGGAGGGAGAGAGAGAGAGAGAGAAAGAAGTCGCGGCGGGGACAGACGCGGGTTAATTCGCGGTCGCGAACGAGATTTCACAAGCGTCACTTCGTACGCGTCGGTAGTGAATCAACGAGAACAGGGAGGGAGGAGGAAACGAGGTGATTTGTCATTCTAGCGTCGGAGGAGCTACGCCTCGTCGTCGTCCTCTTCGCGGAAGGTAATCGATGGCGCCTGGCCGTGTCTTTGCTCTTTCCGCAGATGACTTTAAGCACAGTTCGTTGGCGAGCGAGCACGCCAAGCGCACGGAGGCCGTCTGAGAATCGATAAAAAGTGATGCAACATTCGGCTGGGCTTTGGTGGACACTATCGTCAGCTGATATGCTAGTCGGAATTGCCAACAAAGCGTTCTCGTGACCCGCACACGTGCTTCGCTCGCGACAATAACCGCTGCGATAATATTCCATGGAGAGAACAAACAGACAGAGGAGGGAGAGAAAGAAATCTGACGTTCTGCGACGCGAATCTAAAGTTATCAGACACGAGAAAGAAAGAGGAGTGTCGATGAAAAAGAATTACGTAATGTCAAATTACGCAAGACTCGATTCGCGTTCAACAAATCAGAAAATACACCGATGTTGACGAACTGGAGGTAAATTAAGTTTGATCGAATTTGAGAGAATGCTCTGAATTTAACGGATTAAGAATGGATCGACACGTCTCAGCAGGGGAAAAGACAAATTGAGATCAAATTACAAAAAATAATGCACGTTGAAGGAAAGTTTGTGAGGAAACGTGAAGAAACGTTGTGAGGAAAGAATACGAAGGGACGAGAGTAAATCACGCACGAAAATCCGTTACGCTCGGCGTATCTGAGGAACGAGAACGGCGCTTCGTCGAATACTTTTTTCACGCTCCCAAATGGCGGGTATTAGGGACCGGTATTCGAAAATGACGAGAAGGAGGGAGGGAGAGAGAGAGAGAGAGAGAGAGAGAGAGAGAGAGAGAGAGAGAGAGAGAGAGAGAGAGAGAGAGAGAGAGGGAAAGAGAGAGAGACAGACAGAGAAAAGAAAAGAGAGGGGTGTATATATACAAGAAGAAGCGACGGGGCCCTAGATAATCCCCCTGTATGGCTTGAACAAAGCTCCTTTGAATGTGTTCGCGACCATACGCGGCCACGCTCTCATAAGAAAGAACCGTGTAGACGAGGCGATCCTCGAATGTGTGCATCGCCGCGTTGCACCGAGCGGTTGAAGCACTACGAGTGCCCAGACTGACGCATTAAGACGACTTCGAATAAAGGGGGTTCTACGTCCGCGCGGTCCCTTCACGAAGAAACGCTCGCCGTAGAATCGGGACGCACGAATTCAAACATTTATACCTCTCTCGGCCGGCTTCTTTTCCCTCTCTCCTCCTTCCAAATTTCAGGGGAGAATCACGCGTGAGAGTTTACCGCGGTAGATAAGATAAAAGCGATCACACCTGGAAGAGCCGCAGCGCACGACTGATAAGTCTGCAAAGTCGCACGGCAGGATTTCGACTTTGATCTCTTTTCTCCTCTCTGGTGGCTCAACTTTTTTCTCGCCATTTTGCATTTCGATTACATTTCAGGATATCTCGGATTCCTTCGCAACACTTGCTGCAACAGTGGTTCCGCCGGCAAGAGACGTTCTTGAAGTATAAATTTACCTTCGAAATTTGCCCGTACATGATAATGACTTCGATATGCACGTGTCTTATTTTCAGCGTAAGTTCCCAGGTACAATTTTTGCCTGAGGACGAAATTTACAAAAGAATGAACGCTTATTCGCTTATGATCCTTCTCGGTAGCGAAAACTCTTCTTCCGCGTGTATCTCAACGAAGAGGAGACCGTTCTTTTTCGCTGACGCCCTCTACCTTCGACGATTCGGCGTGTTTCTTCAGTACCGTCGAATCGAATCAATGCCGACGTCGACGGGAGGCGCGACAAAGTGGAATACGCGCGATATATCGTAAGGTTGTTTAGTCTGTAACGCGAGACAGGACATTCGATACTAGACACATCGAGCAAGTCAACGCGATTAAAGATCCGCGCCACCCGCCGCGTGCTGGATTTAGTGTTGTTTCAACAAACACGACAATTGCTCCATGTTGCACTGGGAAAAAGACTTTTGTTGTCACAGCAAATGGACGTTTGCTGTTTGGCATTTTTCGTTATTTGTAATTTCCACGAATACACATTGCCGGAGATGCAACAGAGATTTGTTCCCGTTACGAAATTGTTGAGGTCAGAGCGACAAATCGTGAGTAATAAATTATTTGTTATCACAACGGAGTCATTTGCTGTTCCACATTAACAAACCATTTGCTGCGGTGTTTTGTCAACCCAACAAAAGCTTTTTTTCCCTCATCGTGTGGTCATCGTCGCGTCAAGGAGCCCGGCGACGTGGGGGGCATCGACCTCGGGACAAGCGCTGACAAGTGCATACTGCATCGCGCTTCTGCAGCAAACGGACACTCTTTATCGATAGCGCGACGTTAGCTGACTTGTCCTCAACGACGTTGACGAACTTACGGTAAAACGGTACGTGCGAGCACATCGAACGCAACGATTGATCCGCGAGATGATCAACCTTCGTTCTCGTCGTCACGGCGAAGAAGCGGAGGAAAACGAGCAGACTCGAGAGACGATAACGGAGTGACGAACTACTTCTCGAAACGAGTAACGCTAACGAGTTGATTTTAACCCTTTAACGCCCGACTTTTTTTTTAGTGTTTGAAGAATAAAATTTGAGTTTTTTGAACTAGTCAATCGTCCCTTTCCATTTTTCGCTGCATAAAAAACTGTAGGTCACTAGGTTTCACGATAATCGGTTGATTTCTTGATTTACGTGTCCACCATATTGGATTCGCCATTTTGAATTTCTGTATTCTTTTAATTTCACATTTTGCATCTGAAAAAGCTTCCGAATGTATAAAATTATAATAGATACCAATCTATTCATTTATAGTGCACTTCTAGACGTCAGTAACAATGCCAACTATGCCTACTTGGAATTTGACAAAATATGTTATCACTAAAACTGAGCTAAAAACAGACTAAACCGAATCTACATACAATCTATATACCATTTTTTAGACGAAGAACTCACCTTTACGGTGAAGGTGCAAAGAAAACGAAAATATCTCCTTTTTGATTAAGTTATGGATTCTCAAATGCGTTTCTGGTAACTGTGGTTACCAGTAGGCGTTAAAGGGTTAATAAGCAACTTCCTCAACGTTCTGGTAACGAGTCTCTCATGAGGAGCGCAATTAAAGAGCGCTCGAAGTCGGCGATGCGACGAGTATCGTTGGCCTCTCGAGACTCCGTTTGACGAAACTTGCTTTTCGATCGAGAGGAATCCTCACCTGAGTGTGTGGACGAGCAGGTAAAAATCGAGCGCGATCGATAACTCGCGGACTTGGCGGGACGAAAATGACATCGACGCCGCGCGGCACGGCGCGGCGCAGGCTCGCCGGTCGATCGGCAAATCGGACGCGAGTTTGACGTAAATCGCGCGACCTTTCGCAAAAATCCGACGAACAACCGGTCGCCCGGCGAACGTGCATGCGTGCTAATGACGAAAGCGCAAGGCAGGGGAACGAGTTTGTCACCTTCGCGAGGCGAGTCTTTCGTCGGGCGATAATAGGGCGTGTATCGATGATTGCGCTCGTGATTGGCGCCGAGTGGACCATCTGACTCGATAAACCGCCTGATATCGATGGAATCCCGACGAATTTGTGACGCGTTTCAAAAGCGACTCTTTCGCCGGCCAGTCTGGCGGCCGCGTTCGCGACGGAACGTTGACTTCGGGGCTGGAGAATCGCGAACTCGCGGAAAGGTTAGCCAAGTGGAGTGCTTGAGACGCACGTCGCTCGATTTCCCACTCTTTTTCTCTCTTTCTCGGTTTCTCGGTTTCTTTCTCTTTTTCTCACAAACCCGGAAAAGTCGTAAGTACGAGAAGATGATCGTCATATCAGCAGCTTGCGAAAGTACGCCGGATCGGCGACGATTTCGTCGGCTCGGGAAACGAGTGATTTCACAAAATGCACAATTAATCGAAAGATGGCGGGAACTTTGATCAAACCCGGCGTGTCATCGTTATTAATGAGAAAAAAAACGTGGCTGAAAATCCGACAAATTTTCGCAAGCCATTAGGAAGTAATAAATAATTCGTATCGTATTTGTATAGTAAGGTAAATAATATTCTACAGGATTTTGTCATGATCGGCTTCCTTCTCGACATTAATTTTCCACTCGGGGTTGTTTCCTTCGCGAATACCTTCATCGGCCCTGACATTTAATGGCCATTCAATGTCCTTTCGACGGACCGTGACCGTTTTCATGCGCTTGATACCGGAGACGGCAAGGACTAGCGAATTTTTCGGTAGGATAAACCTGTTGCAGGAAGGCGCCACGAGACCCGCGAGTTTCCTCGTGAAAAGAATTGGAGCAAACGTGACTGCCCACGCAGCATCCCTCCGCGTATCCTTGCGCACGTCCTCGTAGCGAATAGATCCCTTTTCTCCCGGATAACACCGCGATAAATCGGCGCTGCTAGTTACAAAGTAAAAGTCCCTCGCACTCGCCCGTGTCGGTTGAATTATTCAGGACAAGGGTGGGAGATCCTTCGGAAAGCAGAAAGCGCCGGTCCGAGAGCGCAGGATCGCGGATTTATACATACGCCTCGCTCTCATCGAATTACTCGCGACCGACCGTGAGGAAAGGCAAAGACGCGGTGATAAATTCACGATGTCTTACGGCTGGTAGACAGTCACAGTCGTCGTAAACAGCATTTTCTTGATTCTAAGAAAATAACTCTGTTGCAAGTAATCGTGTTGATCCTCAAACATGATCGTGCTTTGCGCGCGAGATATGCACCGACAAACATGAACCATCGCGACGACGACGCTCGTCTCTCTCTCTGTTTCTCTCTCTTTCACGTTAATTTAAGAAATAGATTTTCTTATTCAAATGAAAAGCGAATGTCCACTGGGATCTTTTCACTGTTAAGGCGGAACTTTTGTACAAATTGGACGCTTCAAGCTAACTCACTAATTACGACTCGACGCTTCCGCTGCAAAGCTCAACGATATACAGGAATCGGAAAATTTAGAAATGCGTGTATAGAGAAGTTTTTCACACTTATTACATAAATTATATTATATAAAAATCTTTTCTTATTATATAAAGAGTTTATTATATAAAAATTTTAATTATCGTGAAAAAGGAAAATTCAGGCTCGACGGAGCCTCTCTGCATAGAAAGTAATTATTAAGGGATAAAATTCATTATAACGCCTGTGTGTCCTACAATATTCTACAAAAGTTACAAACGCAAAGGAAAATGACGCAAATGCATTTTATAAAGCAGACTTGCGCGACTGTTGCGTGACCGAATGAGATCGCCTCAAAATGATGATCGATTCGCTGTGCCAACGACGCGGGGATCATCAACGTAGAGGGGGGTTGAAAATTTGTTACGTAAGTGGGGGGGGGGGTTGACAACTTGTTACGTATTATATCTCGAGGTTCCACGGCGGCCGAGGCGTAATGGACTTAGTAACAATGAACTTAACGCTTATATCATTAGGCTTGCTACGCGTACGATTTTCAATCGTATACGCATTTACGCGTGCGTACGGTTGACAATCGTACCCGCTGCGTGCTAAGACTATTATGCAATCTTCCGTACAGCACGTGTAAGCAAACTATAACACGCTTATAACTGTTTGCCGACGCGGCTCGTATAAACTCCGCGACAAGCAACGTTGATGAACTCCTCGCGGTGATCATCGTGAAGCAATATGGTTGGTCATTAATCGACTGACATGATGAAAATCAACACGCGGTAAATCGTGATTGCATACAATGACTGTCGTAGTCGATTGCTCTGCTTTAATGAGTCACGCACTGGTCGATGATTAATTTCATTGATTTCGTTGCGTTGTTCATAATTAATGAATTTTGACTACCGCTTCGCCGATTATTTCGGTCAATTGAGACTTTGACCGAGTAATGCTCTCGACCTCGTCGCGAACTGGACACGCGAATTGGAGATCTCGCGTTGCGTGTTTCAGGAAAAATGTCCAAGTCGGGGAGCATCAAGGATGGCGAGAAAGGGCCGTACGATCCGGTCTCCACCAACGAGAAGGGCAACGACGAGATCAAGCTCGAGGCGAAGATGTCGCTTCTCAACGGCGTCACCGTCATCGTCGGCTCCATCATCGGCTCCGGTATCTTCGTCAGCCCCACGGGTGTCCTTAAGTACACCGGAAGCGTGAACGCGAGTCTCCTCGTGTGGACCGCGTCCGGCATCTATTCCATGGTGCGTGCAACTGCCATCGAGGAAACCGTCCTCGCCGCCATCGTCGCAACTGCGATATTTTTTCTTCCACATACAAAACACCTTTATTTACTCCGTTATTATGCCGAGCGCGATATTATTCAAGTAGTCACGACCGAGAGACGATAACACCGCGTTCCCGAGCTATTTTTACACGATGCATTCTCGCATCGCATTATCGATATTTACAGCCTCTCGATTCGGGTCTCCTGACGATCGACGCTTATATCGGAGAGAACAAATAAACAAATAAATAAATAAAAAAGGAACAAGCAAGATTCGCGCGACGAAACTCGTGTCACAATTTGTTCGGGTTTTCAGCGCGCAGCAAACATCGGCTTGTTTTCATTTATTTCTCGTCTTATCTCGACTGTTTAGCGACACTCCGTCGAATCGGCCGCGAGGATGAACTTTGCAGCTTTTCTCTCTTCCTTGGTCGATCGTTTCGGTTAATCTCTCCTCGAATGTTTCCTCGCTCGACAGGTAGGAGCCTACTGTTACGCCGAGCTCGGATGCATGATACGCAAGTCGGGCGCGGACTACGCGTATATCATGGAGACCTTTGGGCCCTTCCTGGCCTTCGTACGATTGTGGGTCGAGTGTATGATAGTGCGGCCTTGCAGCCAGGCAATCGTGGCCCTGACTTTCAGCGTCTACGTTCTCAAGCCGCTCTTCCCGGACTGCGTGCCGCCCGATGACTCCGTCAAAATGCTCGCCGCCTGTTGCATATGTAAGTAGAAAAAAAGAGACGAAAAAAAGAGATGAAAGACGGCGAAAAAAAGAGAAAGAAGAGAGACGAGAGAGGGAAGCCGCGTGTCTTGGAGAAATCGCGCGCCTCGACATTAACACGGAATGACGGACGATAAATTCGAGAATTTATATCTATTGTTGATTATCGATTGCGCGACGCGCGTCTGCGGTGAGAAAAAGAGAAAAAAGAGAATGAAGAACAGAAAAAGTACATAAAGAAACGATAAAGATAAGATAATAACATAATACGATAAGTACATACAGAAACGATAAGATCAATGGACTTGAAATTTTCCCAGGGTATTCATTAATGTTCAAAGTATAAAATAAATTTTATTGAATCACAAAAACCGATCCAATTTGTAATTTTAGATAAAAATACAATCATCCGTTTGCAAGCTCTGTATTTGCTATGTCGACATAATCCCGGATCTCTAACTATTCTGATACCAAAAAATGAAAAAAATTTTTTTAATATATGGTTATCATTATAGTCAAAATGAAGACAGTGAAGCCAAGTGTGGAAAAATAATGACTGTACAAAAAAAATATCGAAAATGAAATTTTTTCCAACTTGTAATCATGTTTAAAAAAATGAATAAAATAATATATAACTGTGTTCGAAGTAGGAGAGGAAACTACATGTCTACTGTATAATGTATAAAAATTTCAAGTTATTCGGTTTAGTAGTTTTTGCGTGTCGACAGTTTAAGAAAATGGTGTTTCCAGATAAACGCGTTTAAAGTTTTATGTGTATCTATACTTTCCATATAGATAGTAACAAATTTATTTTATACTTTGAACATTAGTGTAGAATACACTGTAAAAATTTCAAGTCCGTTGATCTTACTGTTTTTGTTAAAAAAATTCGTAAAAATATCCTTGAAAACGGCCTGCTCCGTATGTAATTCTCTCCTTAAATACATAAACGAAGCGCATAACCCAGGGGTTCCCAACCGAGGGTGCAAGGAAAAGTGATTGTAATTAATAATGAATAAGATGAATTTTGAAATAATTCGGCATTTTTATCATCAAATTAAAAAAAATGTTATTAAAATTATATATTTTTTATGTACGTATATATTCTGTACATATATATTCATTACGTATCCTCTGCGAAGCTCGTGATATCATGGATAATAATTTTATAATATTAAAATGATAATTAATTTCTATAAAACAATACTATGTAATAATAAATTATTATAAATTAACTTCTTACCGTAAAATCCTAACAACTAATTTTTATCACAAAACATACGAATAATTTCTTTTTGTAAGGGGTGCGAAGGTTCATTAATGAATTTTTAGGGCTGCAAAATACAAAAAAGGTGGGAAACCCTGACATAACCGTAACGTGACGCGACCCGGCCGCTACCTGAAGAGTGAATCGTGGATTTTCGGCATTATTATCGGTTTATACTTTTATCGGTTCTATTATCGGTTATTATCGATACATTATTATCGATTATCGACACGTCCCGAAAGGTAGCGTCGGCGTTGCGTCACCACGAAGAGAAAGGAGCTCGATAATCCACATTGCGCGCACGATCGGACCGAAGAGGGTTGGATCTATGAAGGAGAGCGCGAGAGAGCAATTAAGTTTGTCCGCCGAGACCCTCTGGTCGTACGCAACAATTACGATCAAACGAGGGCAATGCTGATCCTCAGTGACGAATAATATGCGCACAATACCGAGGCCAACGATTGAACTTCATTGGCTCGTGTGCGTTTGTCCGGGATTAAGCACTTCAAACGGGCCGACAATGCGCCGCTCAGAAAATTCATCTCTCCCACAGCAATCGCGCCCACAACGCGCGTCATCCACGACAGTGTCATCGTTCCGATTCTTATCTCGTCTCACAAGTGTTCTCTTTTCTTCGTCTTCTACCGCGTATCGTGAGATACTCCTCGTATCGTCTTCTCTCTTTCCCGGGGGTTATTGGCTGATTCAATTACGTCATTCAACTACGTGAATTCAGCTACGGGTCCAGGTTGATTGCTAATCTAATCGCGAGATCGCGTCTTCGGGAAATCCAGCCAAAGCGGCTGTGTAAATCCGCGGCGCGTGAAGTATTTTTCTTGCCGTCTAATGGGGACATGGATTAGAATTGGAAATAAAAGAGAATCACAAAGAAGAGAGCGGATTTCGCCAACGTGGATTCCACGTCGGTCCCACGCGATCTCAAATATCTTTTGCTATTTATATAACACACCGGGATTGCGCAATGTGCAATTGCGGTAAAAAGCGTGCCACGCGGAAGGAAAAATGAACTGATGTTATCAGGAGCTCCTGCGTTCCTGCGAGCTCGCGGCGTAGTCGCGCTGTTAGCCGCTGTTAGTCGTACACACCACTTGGGAATTCCGCCTCTTAAATGCGACTTTCCTCTCGAGAAGAACGTCAAACGGAATTCCCTGAGCGACGGGAGGAATGACGATATTCCTCGAGCTTCCTCGCGCAGTACTTCGTCCTTCGACGACGTTTCTCACCCCCGCGGTTTGTTTTCTATGGGGGACTCAGTCTTTCTTTCCTACCTCGGCAAACGAATAGATCGAATGGTACTCGTCGCATGGTACTCTTAATTTACAAGATATTATCAGTGAGACGGTGCTCGCGCTTGCAGGGGGGAGGGCATGGAGAGGGAGGACGCTGAGGCTCGAGGCGGCTTCCGAAGTAATCTCCCGAGTACAATGCAATGCTTCCTCTCCAATAAAACATAATCGCGATAAAGGACTTTCCGAGAAAAGTGTAAACGACAAGTGTAGAGCGGAACCGCGAGGTATATGCGAATGAATGATTTACGAGCCCGCGCTAATTACGTCGCGATAACGTATTTGGTGAGGAAGATGAAACTGATAACGACGGCGTTAGACGACACGCCGTTACTTAATCCGACACGTTCGCTTACGACGCGAACATTCTCCCTCTCTCTTCTGCCTCTTTCTCTGTGCTAGCGTGAACGCGACGATTGAAGTGCGTCAGCGCAAAAATACGCGCGACGAGGAGGCATGAAAAATGGCCTTCAAATTAATATTTCCCACTTTTTATTATACTAGCGCGTACGACTCAGGAGTTCCGATCTTGTGTGACGCGTGTCCTCGAGTTCCAGGAATTTCGTTGACATTTATTACCAGCGTAGAAATAATTACGCCCTCTTTCTCCCTTCTCCCCTACCTGAAACAACGCTCTGTCTTCTCGCCTTCGCTTCTCTCTCTCTCTCTCTCTCTCTCTCTCTCTCCCTCTCTCTCTCTCTTTCTCTCGTCGGAGAAATTATGGGCGATTATGCATACTGTGATTTTCGCTCCCTTTCAATATATCCGCGGGAATGATCGCGGGAGAAACTCGGCGATAAATCGCGAGAAACAAGCCAGAGAGAGAGAGAGAGAGAGAGAGAGAGAGATGCAAATCATAGCGCACGGTTTGCTCACTCCATATTTTCTCAATGAATTGCGTCGCGAAATCGAAACGCTTCGTCACCGCGACGCGTTCTTCCGAAGTATTCGTTTAATTGCTCTTAATTCTCCCGGAGCGCAACGAGATTGCTTGTCGATGATGCCGCGCGTAACATCACTGTAACGCTATCGAGCGTTATTTCAGCAACGAAAAAAGTGCGCTCGCAGCCGCGTCGCTGGGAACGCGTAACACGGCGGGATCGCGACAGGAGCAGCGCATACTTCCCGTCTTTGTGGAAATTCGAGGACGCACGCGATTTTTCTTGCGTTGAACGCGCATGCAACATTCTCGTGCGCTCGCGTTTTTCGAGGGCGGCCAAACAAACGTGCGAGCGAGCGAGCTTGACGAAGAATGCGCAGTTTCGAAATATGCCGCCGCTCGCCCCTGAAGCTCGTTTCATTCAGAGCGATTTTTACTCGCCATGTCGCTAACTCACGTTAGAAAAAATTTCCATCACCGCATAATGTACATTTACAACGCGTTACCGCTAAACGCTTGAATTCATTAACGATCGTTAGCAATCGGCGATGCACTTTCGCGATTGCGAATTCCGATCGCAACGATTTTCACCTACTACGTTGCGCACGTTAGCTACTCATAAATTTAGTTTAAATTTTAATCAGGACAATCTCTCGTCTCCGGAGCGTGCGATATATTTTGTGTGAATTAACGGTAGCGAGTTAATCAAGCATCATTAGAGCAATTGCACACGCACAGTTGCAGAAATCGTTTGTACACCGCGGAAAAGGATCAATCGGGCGTGTCGATCCTGCGGGGCCCGGCAGGATCTCGCTAACTGGGTTGCTCGAAGATGTCCTCGCGGGGAGAGACGGCGCACGCCGCGCCGCGCATAAAAAGTCACTCCTGGCGCGTCCACCTCGCCGGACGAGGACATGACCGCAAACGGGCGTATCGTGTTCTTGCGGTCGTTTGACTGCGCACTTCTCTCACTTCGATATCACGCTTCTGCATGCGCGGATCGTTTTACAGATAGATATACGCGCACGCAGCCGCATTTTACGGTTCGTTTTTTTTCCTCTCTCTCTTTCGTGCAGGGACAACGAGCGACACGCTGTTGAGAGGTCCTTGATCCGCATCCGCGCGACGCGCGATCCTCCCGTTCGATCGCGCGGACCACGAAAGAATCCTTACCACGCGATGCTCCAGCTGAGACTCGAGACGTGAAATTGGGGCTAAAAAAGCACGGCGAGAGAAAAACAAAAGATCCGGAATAACGAGCTTTAGCGCGACACCGCGCGGTTCTTATGAATAAATCGGCTCGAATAGCATTTCAAGCAGCCAGACTCAGCGGTCGGATACCTTTTATTAACGAATTAATTAACGCGAAGTCGCACCGCGTGCGGAGGCGTGCGAGTGTGCGAGATGACGCAAGCGAGACAATCGTTTATCCAAATTCGATCGTTGGGTGTCGATCAGATAGTTGGACAAGTCGCGAGCGGAAGACTTGACATTATTGATATATTACGCTGTCGGGCTCGCGATAAGCGCGATACGCTCCCGAATTAACGGACCGTGACCGCAAGAGTATTGCCCGCTGCTCGCGCCGCGGTCTTTGCTGGAAAATCGCCGAGGGTGATCCACGAGAGCGGGATCGATCGACTAATTGGGCCAGCGGAGAGCCCTCGATTGGCCACGCGAGTTGCGCTCATCTTCGAATCCGACGGAAGGAAAACGCAGAGCCGACGGCGATAAAGCGCAAAGTACGGCGTGAATTTATCACACGACTGATAGTTGGATAGCTCGCCTACGTTTGAAGGAAATAAGATTCACCGTGCATATATAGAGTCCCATTTACTTGCCGATAAATCGCTCGGCAAACCGGGAATGGCTTTTCCTGCGAGGAAAACGAAGCGCGGACACGTTCGATCGGCGCGGCGATGTCATTTGCGAATAGATGAGTGCGTTTTCAATGCTCTCATCGCCGAGCATCTCCCCGGGGACGGAGTTATAAATTATCGCTAGAGAAGCCGGTGTTCTCTCGCGGAACAATTCACGACGGATCTCTCTTAAGTAAGTCTTGAAAAAAAAGAAACAAATGAAGGAGAAACGTTCGTCCGATGCATTTATCGTTTCATCGTAATGATTTCAGATTCACCGTTCCTTCTTTCCTCCTTCGATTCTCTCTCGATAAATTTCCGCAGACTCGGAATCAAACGAAATATACCGGTGAGCGAGAAAATTGACGGCAAATTTGCAGCGTTAGGCGATATTCGTTGATTTAGCCAACGAGCGGAATTCTCAAGGAAAGGTGAAGCAAAATGCGCGCACATACACCATCGAATCTGGTTGATCGCGCGCACACGCACACGCACACGCGTATACGCATCGTGCGTGCTTAACATCGTAATTCAGACCACACATGATTCTTACACGACATGTAAAATTCGTAAAGATCGCAGAAAATCTTAGTAAAAGAGTGTAAAAAGGTAAAAAAAGAGACATCAATTTCTTATCCTTCTTATCAAAATACATACAGAAATTACTATGCAAAATATTTCACTTCCAGAAAACGACAAAATTTACGAACGTTCAGATAAGACAATACATAGAAGAAAATTGCTCGAAAAAAATATTTCGGGAAAAAATCTGCGAAAAATAAAGTTAAATTTCGAAGGAAGAATATCATTTGGCGCGTAACGGCGTGACGACACGTAAAATTAAAGATCATAGAAAATCTCAGTAAAAAAGCATTAAGAAAGGTAAAAAAAAGAGATGTCAATTTCTTGTCTTTTCTACACACATACACACAGAAATTCTATGCAAGAAATTTCACTTCCAGAAAACGACAAAATTTTTACGAACGTTCAGATAAGACAATAGAAGAAAATTACTCGAAAAAAATATTTCGCGAGAAAATCTGCGAAAAATAAAGTAAAATTTCAAGGAAGAAACATTTGGCGCAGGACACTGCTGCGTCTTGAACAAAACTCGCGTGAAGCGATCTGGCGTAAAACGGTACGCAAATCTGCCTGGATTTGCTGCTCTCGCACGAATCGATCTCGATCCGCTTCCATTCCGCTCGAGCAAGTGGTGAAGATCAATGACCAAGACGCTCGCGCAAGCGTATGCGCGTGCACGCACCTTGCCGACACGTTTGCGTTTCACGGTTTCAGCTGCGACGCGTTTCTCCCAACGATTGCGATCGCCGCTTCTCCTTGCGTTTCTTTGTTCTTACCGGCATTCATTCACGTGGTTCCTGCGGTAGATGGATCAATAAGAACCATCAATCCGACCATGATTTCGATGTATTAATCTCCGCGACTTCTGGAGACGAGAAACGTAGAATAAAATATTAGCAAACAATATGCAACCGATAAGCATTGTCAAGTGAACAGAACCTGCTTCAGACCCTGAAGATAATTCCGTCGACCCGTCGAGGATTACGCTTCGCCGGCTCGGAGCGACTGAACGGTATTTAACGAATGAAGAGATTCCCGAAGGAAGAAATCGAGAGGACCGAACTGCGAAGAGCAAGAGAACAATTACCGAACGACATGTGATTACGATGTGGCACGTGAACTGCCGATTGAAGAAAGTGGGGACTGGAGGCGCGCTGGAAATGCCGACGCGAGACGTTCGCGGAGTCTGGTGAGTCAAAAGCTCGATGGCAATCACGTCTCATTGTGAACAAATGTAATTTAATAACGTGGCAACTGGCCATCACGCACGGCATAATTCAGCGGACGGTACGAGCGAGGAGGAGGAGGACGGCGAAAGGGAAGGACAGAGCGCGGACGGAGAAGACGGAGGGCGCACGAGGCAAGAGGAAGAGGAGGAAATCTCGCGATCGGCGCGAAGGGGAAAGGACGGCAGGAGTGTTCTCGCGATATTCGCCGACGATGTTGCATCAGTCTGTCGACGGCGTCTCGTCTTCCTTTTGTACCGCGGCAAGAATCCGCCAAGGACGAGCTCGACGTCGAAGGTGGAATTTTTCGCGAGCGCGAGCGCGCGCCCGGCTCGAAAGGGTCGCTCATGATCTCGACGGAGCGTTGTCTCTCGGCTCCGTCCGTGAGACCGAGCCGGAATTGAACATTTTTTAAACTCGGCAGAGAGGCCTCAGGCTTCTGGAAATAGAAGAAGAAACGTGAACAACGAAGAGAGTTAAGTTAATTATTTCCAGACGCGTCCTTCTCTTCAAGATGTCAGTGTGAATGTGACGGTTTGTAGCATCGAGTTGTGGCATCTCAGATCTCAATAATCCGCAAGGGACTGTCCATTGAGATCCTGCAAACTCGATGAAGTTTGCGGAATCGATCTAGAAGCGGTAACAACGCTGCGCAATTAGCAAACGACCGTTGTCCATCCGCGCCGTGACAACCTTAGCAGCGCGGCTCTTCTCGCTTGCCTCGGCCGATTATTCCCCGCGGAATGAAGCGAAAATTGTCAACATTCCACACCGCGTCGGCGTCGAGCCGGAACGTGATGGCAGATAACGATCTACGTTTAACGAAGCAACAATTACCTCGTCGAAGTATGCCATGACTTAACGCGGCTGTAAAGTTTTACGACCTCTCTCTCCGCCGCGGCCGCCGCCGCTGCCGTCGGCGTGAAGTCACCGCGAAAGTCGCCGGCAATTCGCGCCGATCCGCGCCGCCTTCTTCGTTCGCGCTTCTCACCCCCGCCGGAATCCCCGATGATACGGCGCCGTAATTCGCGTCCACTCGCTCGCTCTCGCAAATCGCGATCGTGCTCTCTCCACGTGCTCGATAACCCGTTTCCGTCCACCCCCGAGTCGCCGAGTGGTCTGAGATGAGGAGAGCGTGTGTGTGCGTGCGTGTGAACGCACGCGCAACCGGTTCCACTGACAAGCGCGTTAACCGACTGTGACGGTATAACTCTCGTTATCGTAAAGTTACATGCGGAACCGCGTCGAGCCGCGTCAGTACACACCGCCGTCGAGAGACATCGCCGTCGGCGAATAACCAGGTGCCACGCGCCCGGTGCGGTCGGCCGGCCGGCTCGGGAAATTCACGCGGAAACTTGTCCCCGCGAGTCGTATTACATCCGACACGCTTATCGCAGACGACACGTTAAGTAGCGGAATAAATTTGCTGAAAGGACCGAGAGGATATTTATCAAAGAAATCCCCTCTTCTTATCTTAATTTTATGCGATACGAATTCTCGCTTTCGAGGCCGACGAGGATCCTCTGCTGAAGAATTTTCTTCTCCTCTGAGTTTTTCTGAAGTCTCGCGAGAAACAAACCTCTATATGTGAATTGCACCATTAGATTAAAGTAACTTGCGATGAAAAGTAACTTGCGCGCGAATATCCGTGCCAGTTAGCTCGCAGTGGCCTAGTCGAAAGGATGGATAAAACTTGCAAGGATCACCCGCAAAGTTTCCCCCTCGGATTTCGATGAAACTCGATCATACTCGTACAGCATAACCGAAATTAAGAAATACATTCCTTTTTGTCGCCAGTTCATTTCAGCCTTCAAACTTATATCTCAGCCGATAAAAAATACGTATCCTTAATTCTGATTACTGTGAAAGATACATGCACATAAATATGTTCTCCGTTTTTAAAGAGCAAATACCATCGCAGTTGCGTAGTAATTTGGTATATCAAACACTCCCCCCCCCCCCGTTCACGATTCTACGTTTATATAAGACAAAACGATACGTCGCATTTGCATTTCAGGTGTCCTCGCCTTTATAAACTGCTGGGACGTCTCGTGGGCGACGAAGGTGCAGGATATTTTCACGTACGCCAAGCTCCTCGCGCTCTTCATCATAATCTTCACCGGAGCGTATCAACTCTGCACCGGTGAGTGTGTTGCACGTCCGAATCTCTCTGATATATCCACGAGATACGATTTCACGACGGCGATTCCACGTTGCGAAATATTCCACTGCTGATAGGACAGAGTCAGATAAGAAAAATATTAAGATGTATATTTATATTTCGGCCAACTCGGCGGTATCGCTCGATTGAGCGATATACGCGCGAGAAGTTGATTGTATGAAATGGACAGGCTCACCGGAGAGAACGCATTAAGGGGTTAAAGGTTAATGACACCGACATTCGAGCACGTTCGCGTGCGGCTCGCCGGCAATTTACGCTGGCAGTTGCAACAATTTCGAGCGACGCTAATCGGCCCGCCCGTGATATCATTACTGCCGCGTTCCCCTTCGTTTTTCTCGCGGCGCAATTTTTCTCTCGTCCAGCGGAGCCCGCATTCTCGATCGAGAGAGAACTCTCCCGCCTAGAACAAGCACCGGAGTTTCCGTGTACGTTCGAGCGGGCAAAAAGGATCGCTCTCCCTCCCTTCCCCCCTCCCCCCTCTCTCTCTCTCTCTCTCTCTCTCCCTGTTACGTCAGGCTGACTTTCTCCTCGCGGACGAATTGTCTATCCAGCCGATCGCTCGGCTCTTTTTTTCGGCGCGCTGATCGTGTCTTTCGTTATTGGTTTCGTACTCGCTGTGTCACGCGCTGCCACGCTGAAGAATGAAATCGCAACGGGCGAAGTGAATGAGACAGGAACGAGCTGCTCGATCCTAGCGAGAATCATACTTCGTTGGGTAAAAATATAAAAAAAAAAGATCGATCCTAGGAGAATAGCGAAATATCTTGAGAATAGACTTCGTTACATAAAAGTATAAAGGGAGAAGAAAGACTGAGAGGAGGATTATAAAAATGATCTTGAATCTTGTGAAGATGGCGGATCTTTTCACGTAAACATGTAAAAAGGGAGGACTAATTGAGAGAATTCTAAAAATCGAGGAACATCTTGAGGGTAGATTTTACGATGACTCTTAAACCGAGCTTTCCTCCGCGAATAATGTATTCTTCGTTTAATACAGTTCCTCGCTCTTCCATTCCATTGAATTCAATTGCCGCGTTTGAATGACGTTGTGTCGCTCGCTCGCGCGAGCGCGAGCAAACTCCGAGGAGAACGAGAACTTCATTATCTACTTATATGAGTGAGAAAAATTAAGGGAAAGGGACCCAGCCGGGTGGCTGGCCGACGGAAGTCGGGCGTCTTTTCAGCATTGTACACTTGCCGGACGGGACAATTTGCCCAATCAAAAAGGTGGATTAAATACGCAGGCGATGCAACGTGGCTGGCGTGCGTGCGAGGAATCGCTTAAATTGGACTATTCAGCGAACCAAATGCTTCCTCGACCGTCGTGCGTGGCCACCACCGTCTTGCTTCTGACGAAACCTTTCTTCGACCTTGCACGACCGTATGTGCTCGCCTTTCGTTGACGATTCCGCTCACGGAATTTCGCACGGAGCCGCGCTCCTTCGTCTTACGCAACACGGACGAGATCATATCGAATCGCGAATACGAAAACACGCGTATCGTGCCGAGGGGAATTACAAATTGGGAAAAAAGAATTACCAGCAGAAAACATTGCCAATATTCGAGGAAACCGAATATGTACTCAGAGTGCATGGTGAACAGATGATGATGATGATGATGACAATCTTCTCTTCTTGTTGTATGTTTATGTGAAAAGATCTTCCATCTTCGCGAGACACTTGAAATCACTTTTATAATCCTTTCAGTCTTTCTTCTCCTCTCATATGTTTATGCAATGAAGTCTATTCTGAACATATTCCCCTATTCTCCTGGGATTTTCTTAACTCTTTGAGGCATAGTGGTAAGTATACTTACCACCTATTTATTCTCACATTTTCATGAAATATTTCATATTTGAGGGATTCTTGTCGGGTTTTTGCGTATTTTAGCTTCTTATATGATATGGAAATATACACGACAGGTTAAAAAGTGTTTTGCATAAGTTGTCCACTTATTATAAATAAACAAAGTGTGAAAAATACAAATTTTTACAGAAAAAAATCATTTTCCACGAACTATGAGTGAATTTTTTGTTCAAAATCAAGATTTGGGGATTTTTTGGGTCGCTGATTACGAATCTGAGGTCTAAATTCCAAAATTAATTTTCCAAGATGGCGGATTCCAGATGGCGGATCATAGAATGAACATAAAATTAGCTAAAATTGTACTCTGGTTAGTTTTTGAGCTCGCTGATTACAAATCTGAGGTCCAAATTCTAAAATTTATTTTCCAAGATGGCGGATCGTAAAATTTTTTTATGATTAGCTGAAATTGTACTTTGGTTAGCTTTCAAGGTCACTGATTACGAGGTCTAAAACTCATTGTCACCGAAATTATCGATTTTTCATATTTGTGACTGCCATCTTGAGTTTCGAAAATCTGATAACAGCGACCCCAGAAACCCCCGTATATAAATTTTCACGTGATTCGGATTTTCTGAAAAATACGTGCCTCAAAGGGTTAATCGATGTTTTTACGTATGTCCGCATCGCATCTGACGAAAACATTAATTCACGCGGATGACCGACCTCCGTTTTCTCAGGACACACGCAGTATTTCACGTTCGAGAACACCAACACGGAAGTCACGTCCATAGCTCTGAGCTTTTACTCGGGGTTGTTCGCTTATAACGGCTGGAACTACTTGAACTTTATAATCGAGGAGCTGAAGGATCCCGTTAGGTGAGTTTCCAGCCAAACCCGTCTCGACCCGCAAAAAGCATCGCGATTCTTCTTCACGGCACGAATAACAAATTATCCGGGGATTGTATTCCGTTTGCACCGGGTAGAAAAATAAGAACGACTCTCGAACGAATCTTTCGATTTACTCAGGAATCTGCCGAGAGGAATCGCCATCTCGTGCAGTCTCGTCACGGTCGTCTACGTTTTCACGAACATGGCCTTCTACACGACGCTCAGCCCCGTCGAAGTGCTCGGCAGCGAAGCTGTGGCAGTGGTGAGTAGTCGCGAGTGTAATTGTAAATCGTCTTAACACATTTCATCATCCCGTCTCATTTTCATCATTCTTCATCCGCAATTTTCGTCTCGCTTACAACCTCGCCTGCTCTTCGTCAAACCGTGTTGAATTTCTCTTTCCCTCTTCTTTTATCCACAATTCCTTGCTTCTGCTTCTGCGCATCCAATTACCAGTCTTCTGCTCTCTTCCATCTCCTGTCGTTTTTCTCTCTTAAACTTAAACTCTGCTCAATTTTAACCGATAATTCCGCCTTTGTGATGAAAAATCGGCTGGTCTCGCTGTAAATATTCTCGCTCGATCGGCGTGCCCTCGATTTTTCTTCGGCCGCGCTTTTGTCAATCGTCTCGAGGGGCCCGAGTGCGACCGCTCGCGTTATCCTTGACTTTCATAACCGGCCCCATTGTTCGCAGACCTTCGCCAATAGACTATTCGGCGTGATGGCGTGGACGATACCGGTTTTCGTGGCGCTGTCCACGTTCGGCGCGGTCAACGGCATCTTGCTCACGTCCTCACGGCTCTTCTATGCGGGCGCCTGCGAGGGCCAGATGCCGGAGATCTTGACTATGATCCAAATCTCCAGGCTCACACCCACGCCCGCCGTACTGTGCATGGTGAGTAACGCTTTCCTTCAGCTAGCTCAGCCTCGCGGATTGAACGCGTCCACGTCCCGTCAGTCGTGACGATCGTACACGACGTATTGATCGTATTAACGCGTCCTGCATAAAATGCACCAATGCGATCAATGATTTATTTAATCGCCGCTGGCAACGTCGGCTACAACATTGCGACATGACTGAACGCGCCGGATGTTGCGTGCAAAATGCGTCTGGGAAGAAACCAGAATAGCGGATCTATCGATGCCTCACTGCGCTGCGCGCGTTAGCAATATCTCTTGCGATATTTGTATAACGTTCAGCTTGCGTTTTGTATAACGTTAGCGTTCTCTTTCCATCTCGTAGTGATTAAAGCAATGTTCTGCTTTGATAAAGCTCTGTTCTGCTTTGACAAAACAGTAATTCGCGAACAATATCTTTTGCAATATTTGTACGAAGCACAACGATCGAGAGGCGAAGCTCTCTCGGAACAACCGCCATCGCTTCTTCGTCGAACGATTTGGTAAATTGTCCTCTCCCGATGTCTCTGCAAACAATTAGACCGAGCAACGCGTTTAAGCACTCGCGAGATCCAGTCGCTCTCTCCTCCGTTGACCAACGCGTGATTACCGGCAGCGTCGACAAATAAACATTCAATGTAACCGCGGCGGCGGATTATCCAGCATCGTGAAAAGCACGATGGCGGGACTAAAAATCTTGATCATCACGAAAGTTAACCGCCTTCTTTGCAGGCCCTACTGTCCATGTTGTATCTGTGCTCTTCCGACATCTCTGCGCTCATCAATTACGTCGGCTTCGCCACCTGGGTAAGTGCAGCAATATCTTTCTTCTCGCACCTTCTCGCGCTCCGGTCCGCCGAAAAGAGGAAATATCTCAACCACGATTCACATATTCGTGCGTGATTGAAGGAGGATTGAGGAAGATAAAAGGAAACTTTTTTTCTTCTTTTCCTCTCTTACCTTTTTCTTTCCTTTCTTTCTTCTTTTTCTTCTTTCTCTCTTCCTCTGTCTTTTTTTCGTTTCTCTTGCCTTCTTTTCCCTTCTTATTATGTGAGAATTTTTTCATCCTCGTTATATTTACTATTTTATTTCATTCTCTGTACACCAAAGGGGTCACAGGCCCGTATATTATAAATAAATAAATAAATTTTCAGTTAGACCGTCCCGGTCAGACGGAAACTCAGTTATAGAGACGAAAGAGGAATTTTTTTTTCTCGCTCGATCGTACTGCTAATTGATTGTTAATGCAGCCGACGAATTCCGGGCGCGATAACTGCAAAATGTCATCACCGATATGCCGCGACTTTTCGTTCTGCTTTCTACTCGACTACACAAACTGATACTTGCTTCTGCCTGCAGGCATTGAAATCCTCATTCGCCGAGATACATTCCGCCCAAAGGCGGAAATACAAAGAGAGACGGCCGTCAGTGTAACAGCGGCCTTCTCGTAGGGATTTTTTGCCGGTATAATTAACACGAAGCAGCGCGACTTTCCCCGCTGATTGTTCAAAGCCCGAATGAATGCCAGTCTCATGAGCAAGGTCCTTGCAGTGCGCTCGTCACGATCGCGTGGTCCTTGCGAGACTCGCATGTACACGCAGCAAAATCATTAGTTCGACCGGACGAGTGATAATTTTCTAATTCCCATTGCTCGCGGCGTAATTGGCAATTGCTCGTCGGGCAGCGTCTCGCCTCTATTAAAAAGCAGCCGCCTCGAAACACGAGACGCTCCCTCATTGCTGGCCCGTCGTGCCGTGTCGCGCGGATAAATACTCGCCGATTCCGAATATTCCAGATAGCCATCGATAAGTAAGAACGGACTTATCAAGCTTCGATCGAGACTCGATAGGTCGCCATCGCGCGATCGACTCTCGGCGACGACGAGCGAAAGAAAGCGCCCACGACGGGCAACATAGTTGATCCGGTTATCTCGCTCGCCGATTAATCGCCCCAGTTGCCTTGATATTTCGTCAAGGGGCAATTCAAGCCGGCTAATCGCAGACGTCGCTTGTTGCAGCTGAGCATAGGCGTATCCGTGCTGTGCCTTCCTTGGCTCAGATGGAGTCAGCCGGACCTGCCGAGGCCGATCAAGGTGAATCTTATCTTCCCGGTCTTCTACATCCTAGCCACCCTGTTCGTCACCGTGGTGCCGATGTACGCCAGCCCGATTGAGACAGGTGAGTGCGACCGGGACGCGCGCGGGACCGCGCGATCGCGGATGGGAGTCTTGACGAGAGTGATTTTCGCTTCCAGGATACGGCTGTCTGATGATACTCTCGTCTGTACCTGTCTACTTTGCTTTCATCGCGTGGAAAAACAAGCCCAAGTTCTTCCAGAAGGGAGTCGGTAAGTCGCGAAACTACGCCGCTTCCGTCGTCGTTGGCGCACTTAGCAAACATCTTCGATCGTCGAGAATAAAGGATTCGGTGAAAAAGAAAGTTCGATGAGAGAACGGAGGAAAACAGCGGAAGCTGGCCCTTGTCGGTTTTCCCTTTTATGTCACTCTCGCAAGTCCAACCGGCTCGTCCTCGAGTCGCGTCTTCGAGGGCGAAGCTAAAACTTGAGCGTCGTGGGCGCTCAGCCGACGTATTCGATTCGGGCAGTCTCCTCCACTCGGAAACGACACGATTTAGCGTACATACGATAGCCGTCGTCTTGATGTAAAAGTTTAATTAACAATCGTGTCAAACGAACTGCTCGAAAGTAACGCGGGGTCCCGCAAACGCTCCCCGACGCGCCACTCTTCGTGCGTCTCTCTGTTTAACCGATTTATTCCCACAGGCGCCGTCACCCAAACTTTGCAGAAGCTGATGGTAGTCGTGAAGCCGACGACAAAGGTTCAGAACACACTCTAACATAATTCTACTCTTGTCATGTCACGCATGCTTAGCACTCATCCGTTTTCGTTGCGCTCCGGCTTTCGTCTCGTCTCAGTCTAACGTCAACGTTTACCTTATATTTCTTTTTCTCTCTCTCTCTCTCTCTCTCTCTCTCTCTCTCTCTCTCTCTCTCTCTCTCTCTCTCTCTCTCTCTCTCTCTCTCTCTCTCTCTCTCTCTCTCTACTCTCTCCCCCCCCTCTCTCTCTCTCTCCTCCCTCTCTCCTCCTCTCCTCTCCTCTCTCTCTCTCTCTCTCTCTCTCTCTCTCTCTCTCTCTCTCTCTCTCTCTCTCTCTCTCTCTCTCTCTATTCACCTAATCTCTTCGTAGATCACTCTTTTAATCGGTTCACCTTGCATGTCTCTCTACTGTGATCTTCTTCTCTCCTTCTCTCGCTGTAATGCGCATCTTCTTCTCGCTGTGAGACATTCTCGACCGGCTGTCGTGCGACCGCAGTCATCCTCGCACGAGAGATGCTCGAAGATTGCATTCCTTAAGTTTGGGAAACAATTCCGGCGACGGAACCTCCGCTTGTCTTCGCGCCTGCTGTTCATCTCGCTTCTCATCTCTCTTCAGTTTGGAACTCCGGCTGATTTTTCAAGCACACCGCCGCGCAGTCGCAACGCCACGCTTGTCTGTTCCACGGCCGAACGGCTCGCTCCACTCGAGGCGAAATTTTCATGTTTTTGCGAGGCACTTTAATATCTCCGTCGCGGACTCGCGACGCTCTCGGGGGAGGATTCGGCTCCGAGGGGAGACCGGACGTCGTGCAAGCGGGATTGTTCCTTCGCAAAATTAGCTCCTACGAGTGTCCAAGGGCCGGTTTTTCAATCGTGGTTTAAACTAAAGATTATCTGATCCTTCCTTGATCCATAAACCTAGTTTCACATCTTGTGTGCTTTTCAAGCATACGCTGAAGACAGTTTAGATGAACCTTTGTTATTCTTAAGTTGGCAACGAAAAGTCATCGCTGTGCGGGTCACTTTTAGACACGTGGAGGTTTAATTCTAATATGAGTGCAGTCTAGGGCACCCACGCAACGTGGAAATCTTGCAGTATTGTAAAACTTTTCATAAAGTCTTTGAACATCTTCTTCTGTATTCGGAAATTTTACATATGCAGGTCTAAGCTGAGTAATTGCCCTTGAAACTTTATTAATTACTTTACTTGCTGTACTTTTATAAACACCAACAAAATCACCTACGCTTATAAAAAAACCCACTAGCATAAAATCTTAATGTTAGCAATATAATTTCATACGTACTGAAAGAGCCTGATTTCTGGAAAAAATAAAAAAAATGTAATGTAAATAAATTTTACACTATTCGTATAATGTTCATTACTGGTAAACACTATATTTTGCAACTAGTTAATTGGTTAAAACTAATATAATTGAAAAATATTCTATATATGTCATTTCATTTATAACATATATCAATATTTTTCAATCGGTGATTGAACAGCGTCTTGAATTTTTTCTATTAACATGTGAACAGTAGCTTTGGATAAGCTAAATCTTTGAAGAAATTCTTTCCCATCTCTCAAATTTCAAAATGATTTGGTCCTCGCCTTACACGTTTTTTCTCATATTGATATGTTTCATACGTCCTAAAATATCCTCATCTTCGCTACTCTCTTCATAATGTTCTTCATCAAACATCGTAAAAAATATTTTATACTTTTACAAATATTTAACAATATGATTTTAAATATAATAATACAGACACTATATTGTAACGACATTTATTAATCCATTAAACGGCGTTTAAACGGTCATCATTCAGTTTAGTTAAATTTTACTTTAAACTACGTTTTATTCTGATCTATTCATTGAAGAAACACTCTATGCTTTCGAATAGAGTTTAAACTTCGATCTAAGTTTAAACGATTATTGAAAAACCAGCCCTAAGAGCGTCTCATTCGCGTGTCGCGTACTTTTACGCGCGTCTTCTTTAAATTGAAGGAGATATTCAAGTGTCCTCGCGGACACGTCGTCGCACACTCGCCGACGTCGATCGCTCGACACTTTCTAAACATAGAGTCGTCAGAAATGATCGATCACACGCATCGATGCCTTTGCGGTCGTGCTTACTCGAGGAAATGGCGATGTTTCGAACGTTATTCGGAAATATATTACAAGGACATGTATTCAAGGATGCAGACGAAAATCAAGAAACTTTTTAAATTGAAGAAAGAATTTTTTTATTCTCTTTTCTATCACGTATATAAAGAAGTGGCAATATTTGAACTTATTATTCCCGCGAATAAACAGCGACCGTGATGCGCGAGTGTTCAAACATGATGCGTGTGTGATTGAAAATTTCCAGCAACTCCTCATCCAGCAATTATCGGAGGATCAATGCCGGCGAGGGTGTAACTCGACGCGGCGGCGGCGGCGGCGTCGTTTCCGTCGTCCGTCGCGAGAAAAACGTCGTTTTACCAGCGAGACGAAGCGTCATTTCGCGAGCAGCCAGTTGATAATCACCGCGACTTTCGCTTGAGTTGGCCAACGCATTGTTAAGATTTAATTTCACACGTCGCACACACAGCCACGACAAGCACACACTCGAGCGTGTTGAAAACGATTCTCTCTCTCTCCCTCTCTCTCTCTCCCTCTCTCTCTGTCTGTCTGTCTCAGAGCTCTAACAACTCAAAAGCATCAGCGACTAACGAAGAGATCGCGCTGGCGATCTCGATGTCGAAACTCCTCGCTAGAACCGCACATTCGCATCCTACGCGTGAGTCGCACCCGACGCGGCTCTCCTTAACACGACGTCCGTTCCTGTTGCAGTAAGCACGACGAAGCTACTGCAGAAGATAATGCTGGTCGTCGGCAAGTCGAAACCCGCTCAGGTGTAATCAGTCAGGACGAAGTCCAGCTCGCGAGATCGAGACGACGAGGACGGAAGTCGAGGTGGAAGCTCGTCGACCTTCCCAGCCGGAAGAGCCGACGCTTCTGTCTTGCCGAGAAACAGGTCGGGAGCCTCCGAGGAGATGGGGGGGAACCAGCTGAGACTCCGGCTCGACGGGTGCCTCCCGACTGCGCGAAAGAATAAGGCAGGGGCGTCCTAAGACAACAGGCAGCCATATTGTGTCAGGACGCCGGTTGGGCTTGGCGGACCTCTGAAGTGGCTCGTCTTCCGAGATCTCGCGCCCGGACTCACAGCGCCAGGACCTGCCTGCCCGATCACGAAGTCTCGAAACAAGGCTGCTGCCTTTCGTCGAGCGAAGGGATATACGCGATGTGTCACGACTGCACGCTTCTACGTTAATTACATACAATGATCCATTGATTTCGCCTCGTCCTTCGCGCGAGGGACGGGGCTCTCGTCGTCCGTGCGGAATGGGTTTCTGCGCTACGAGGGGGTATAAGTTAAGCATAATCAATATCGATTAGTCGTTAATTTGAGAGAGTCGGCGCTATCAGTGGTAGATCGAGGTGCGCTCCGTGCGCGCCGCGAGCGTCATGTGGGTGTCTTAACGTGAAAAACCGGAGCCACTCGGAGCGCGCTCCTCAGCCTTACACTCGCGGGGACGAAGATCCCGCTAGATGAGTCGGAGAGAGAACTGGGGAATCTCGACAAACATATGAGTGATTACACATGACGATAGCCTAAACTGTCGTAACGATAAGGCGACAACCGTTGTTACTTGGATTAGATAACGTAGCTCTACGTGCGCGATAGCGGCCTGATGATTAGTTCTCCAGGCTGATAGTTACAACATATCAGTTACAACATAATGGTTACAAACAAAATTCTTTGTACGACACGCAGCGCCGCGATGGTGCAACAACATCGAGCGTTGTTAAATCGGTGAACGCAAGCTGCGGATACTGCGAAATCGCCTTCTCCAGGTTGTGAACGCATTTAGCGATGAGGTCGCGCATGACGCTCGCTGACGACTCGCGGAGCGCGCCTTGATCACTCGCTCGAGCAGGAGGAAGTGATCAAGCTCGATCACTTGCGCTTCTAGGCGAAACGAAATCATTGTCGAGCACCTGAACAAAGCAACGAGCAGACATTTCCCCGGATGCTCGTCAGGAATGGATACTGATAGCGCTGTATCTACCGTTATATCTATCGAGTGTGTCGTAAGAAACGTTACTTCAGATTAATCGTATCACGCTCGCGTATTTTCTCGACGCGAAGCTCGCCGAGATCAGTCGCGACGCGCTATCTGCGCGCTCGCGACGCAGCTTTCATTTCGATCGCCGGGGATTAGTCTTATTTATTGCCCGCGCGGCGATCAGGAGTGGAAGGGAGGGCGGCGAGTATCGCTCGCGCGTTCCGTCGCGTTTGTACGAAAACTGAAAAATCGAAAAAAAAAGAAGCAAACAGGAGCGAGTAGCAGCGCGCGCGCGCGCGGATGTTGAGCGCGCGAGCCGCTCGTTCGACGAACGGGAGGGAGGGGGGTGTGATGCGCGCACGAGTGCAGATCTCATCTCGCGGTCTTGTGTCTTTCTCTCCGTGCGATCGCAAAGCTCGTCGAAGTTCGGCGGGAAGAAGAGTGTCGCGAACGATCGCTAAGGCAGATCGCGGAGACTCGGCGAGAAGCGCGCGCAACCGGCGGCAGCAGTCACGTGTGGACTTTCTCGTTGTTGTTACTTCGATTAAATAATAAGCTTCGCTCGGGCGCAGAGTTAGTTTAGCCGTTAGTTTAGCCACTGCGTTCGCATCCCCATCGACTAGCAGCGGCGCGCGCGAGCCGCGTGTTCTCGTTGTGACGCTCCTCGTTACCTCGTTACTTCCGGCGTCTCTCCCCGCCGAGGAGAGACGGCTTTCTCTCTCTCGGTCCGACGCGGGAATCCCGAACGTCGTCCGTACACACACACACACACACACACACACACACACACACACACACACACACACACACACACACACACACGCGCGCGCGCGCGCGCGCGCGCGAGGGAAAAAGAGAGATCGGTCGAATTAACGCGAATCGAGCGCCCTCTTCCCGCGTCTCGAGCCAAACAGAATCGTCGATTCTTCGGCACGAATCCGCTTCGTGAAAAACTGAACTTTTCTGTCCGACCGGCTCGCTCATCGTCGCGATAATTCAAGCGATCTCCTCCTCCCTTCTCCGTCGTACATTCGACAGTCGCAATATCGCTCTTTCTCTTCGTTGTTCCTACACGTTGCTGTGCGTTTCGCTCGAGCGGCAGCGCACTCTAGGGGTGCAAATACCTCCACAAACGATAGCGATGCGTTTTCCCTCCCCCTCACCCCGGAGGAACACATTTTTTCCCTGTGTGTTTTTTTCAGTTGCCGAGATGTGCAAGTTTTGATCGCGAGTCCACTGCTCGAAGCGAGAGCTATTCTTATCCTCCGTATCCTGATCCTTTTGTCGTGATAATGCGGCAACGCATCGAGCATCTCGCGAGGGGTTCTTCCTCGGTGCAGGTAGATCGCTTCGTGGACGTGCTATTTGTCGCAGACGTAACTCCGCTTATTTTTCAAGAGGTTTGCGAAATGTATTTTGATGTGTCGCGCTAAATGTATCTTGCATCCTTAGAAGAGAAAGACGACGGGTTAAGCCGAGGGGAGGGAGTTGAAACTTGTCACACGACGTCGCATAATAATAGTTTTACATTTTACTGCCTCTGGTGATCACGTGTGTGTGTGTGTGTGTGTGTGTGTGTGTGTGAAGGTGTGTTTACGTATATACAGGGTGTTTCAGACCACCCGTCCACTGCTTTTAAGATAAAGGGAAATGGTTTTTAGCAAAAATCCTGAAAATTTTCATGACTAAACCGGGTACGCTCTACTCAGTGGTGATATCTTCCGGTATTGACCGGAAATTGGCTATGCAGACCAGGAGCTGAATTTTTTAAACGGAGCATAGCACTTTTCCTTGCATGTTCGGATTAAATACAAAGAAAGAAATAAAAAATTGTCCCTTCATTTTATAAGGGGTGGACGAGTGGTCTGAAACATCTTGTGTACAGGGTGTATCATCATCATACAGGTCAGTATGACCGGTTGCTTGCCTTTATTCGGACGATAATGCAGATGTTGCCAAAAATGTCACTCGTTGATTTTGTTGATAATGATATTTGCAGTGCTCCCAGTTATGACAAGTGCAACTAATTTGAATTAAAAAAAGATGTTTAAAAAGGTAAAACTGAAAAATAAATATTACGGAATTAAGCAGAATAAATAAGAGTAATAGTTAAAGAGATAAATAATACAACATATTTTCTGATTTCGCGTAATTTCTTTCTTACGTTGAAAAGTTCGACAGAAATTGGAGATTAGAAAGAACGAGGCGGAAATATTTAAAAGTCTTATATACTGTATTTAACTGTATTAAAAATGTGTAATTGCAAAAATATAAATCGACTAGAAATACAGTATAAACTTATGCGGTTGATAAACTGTCATAACGATCACGGTGCGAAGTTGGTTTGTGTAGTGCGAAGTGACTTTTTCGACGATCTCTGCATTATAGTCCGAATAGAGGCAGGCAACCCGTCATACTGACCTGTATGTTGATGTTATACCCTATACATATAGTCATATGCGTTCTCTTCGAGAACAGAAGAGGCGGGAGGAGGAGGGGAATAAACAGAAGATTAAAGGAAGATCGCAAAGTTCCGGAAAGAGAAACGAATGGACTCTGCGACCATTTTTGTTGCTGAGAGCGAGCGTATGGAAAAGAGCGGTTTTTCTAAGAAGGCTTCAACTTGCTACCGACGTTGAAAGGTGGCGGCGTTTTCATGCAATTTAGAGCGATGAGGTGAAGTTCGCGGTTGAAGAAGCGTTAACTATCAGCCAAGTCTGTGAGTTCATATGTGTGTTTTAGGAGAAGCTGATACACCAGATATATTTGATAATTAGTGGCCCATATTTCCTCATTACTACATTAATAATTCATGACCATTTCTCTGACGATTTATCTGGTATATTTTATCTCATGCTCCATTAGAACTTGACAAAATTTGATCGTGAACTTGCGGACTGATCTGATAAGTTTATCACGTGACGACTGCATTACTACGAGTAAGAAATATGCTTGTCTGTTAAGTTCCTAATTCCAAAATTAATTGACGATGAGTGCGTACAAAGAGAGAAAGAGAGAGAGAGAGAGAGAAAGGGAGAGAAAGAGAAAGAGAGAAAAGAAAGAGAGAGAGAGAGAGAGAGAAAAAAGGATTCACTCGCCATCGATTGTACAAAAATGCGTTTCCGTTGACAGGACTGATTATAAGCCGACATCGCGTTCGTGCCTCTCAAGACGTGATTATACTTAAGTAGAGTCTCGATTTTTCGCATACGTGTGTGACGCGATAAAGAGAAAAAAGAAACGCCCGGGGAACAAGTTGATTAAGTACCGATTTTTATCATTCCACCTGTATTTTTAATCCCGCGAGAGGATCGACTCCAGTTTAACAGTCGTCTTTTTTTCACTCGATGTACAGTAGCGGTAATACTTGTTGTATTATTTTACTATTATTATTATTATTATTTCTACACACACGTATTGTACACTTTGCACCCCTTTGGAACGGTGCACCTAAGAGTAGAGACGGGTGACCGTTGACCCGAAGTAGAAGCAAGAAAAAGAAAAAGAAAAAAAGAAACACTGCACCGCTTCACACATATCCGTAATAGAATTCTCCTAGGACCAAGCGTTTTTTCTACGAGGTGTTCACTCGAAACGAGATCTCTCGCCTAATTGACGGATCATCCTAACTTCCTGTGAGCCTTCAGTTACCACAGAGTCTCGCGCATGTTTAAGAGGCAGCTCGGCGATTCGAACTTGTGTCGATTAAAAAGTGAGCGAAATGATCACTGCGAGACTGTAACAAGAATCAATTCCGAGGAAGACTGTGTTTGGACAAAATTTTGAAGAATAACTTAAAACAATCACGCCGCGCGATATACTCTATGACGCGTCAAGACAATAACTTTTTTCCTCGTCGACGTTCTTTCGTAGTAAGAAGACGAGTCGCCGACGCTGCGGCTTGCGGCGGCCGATAATTGCATGCGTAGCTCTTCGTCGTTTAGTGTATTTTTTGAGGGTATTTTTTGAGGGTATTTTTTGGGGGAGTATACTTCGAGAATCACCAGCACTCATCAACGCTCTTCAGGGTGCCTGCGGGTGTGGATTTTATCCGCGGTTGACGTCGTTGACGTTGCGCACTTGTAAGATATAACTTTACGTAATCGTGATCGCTTCCAAATCGCCGAACATTACATTTACATATATTTTGTAAACTTTTTAACGAAACACTGCGCGCATCGGTATCATTCATTGTCGATGATGAGTATGATCATAATGTTTTGTGGTCATCAAAGACGCGGACGCTCCAGTCGAGAATCTTCACCGATCGTTATTAATTTTCGTTATTAATCATCGGTAAACATTTAATTATCGCGACGTGCGAAATACCAACAGGCACCCTGACACGTGACAATAAGACATCAATAAATTGATCGATGGTAAAATTAGAAGGAAGAAAGAGAAAGAGAGAGAGAGAGAGAGAGAGAGAGAGAGAGAGAGAGAGAGAGAGAGAAGAAGAGAGTGAAGGAAAAAAGCGAAGGAGAATATTACCGATACATGAGTGCATCTTTTGTATTAATTTTTACGTTGAAGCCTGTAAAATACGGGTGTGTTTCTCGGTCGATTTCGCGACATTGACCTAATGACGAATAATTAAATGAGATGAAACGTGTAAATTAACGCATCATTGTTCTGCGTAACGCGTTACAGTTTGACGAAAGCGTGCGAACAGAGAATTGTAGCTTAGGATCTGAGCACGTAAGGAGAGAAAAGCGTGAGAGAAACAAAACAAAAAAAAAGATATATATATATATATATATAAAGAGCGAACTGTGACAATATATTATATTGTGTAAACACGCTGTGTATTAATTGTGTATGCAACCCTCTCGCTTGCGCGCGATGTTGAAGCTGAGATTAATTAAGAAAAAGGGGGGCAGGGAAGGAGCAGAAGAAAGAGGAAAGCATAACGAGTGTTGTGCGCGAAAAACGACGGCCATTAAATCGACGGAATAACGGACTCTCGTGCCTGGTTATATACGTGTCTATATTTGCATGTATAAACATATAAGTTATAAATACAATATAGATCCGCGTATTTATAACTTACACATATAATAATAATAATAATAATAATAATAATAATAATATATATATATAATATATGTATATATTTATATAATAATAATTATAATTTTTCTTTCCTCCACAGCGATGTTGTACGACTTATCGAGGACATATCGAGAGAAGAGAAAACTCGCACTCTTGCTTCTCCGGTAAGGAACAGAATGCTACGTCACGCTTCCCCTTCTTCTCATTTTTCTTTTCCCTTTTCAGTTTTTCCGATCCTCTCCCAGAGGATCGCTCGGTGTGCGAAATAAACGGGGGATATCGTTCGCTCGCTCGAGACTCGAGACGGAAAATCCGAGATAAGAGAAGCGCTTACGACGGCTATTCTCGCGGACTGATTACGCGTTGCTATGCTACACGTGGTAAAAACGTCGAAAAAAATCCCCCGTCGGAGATATTAAATATTATATAAAAACGAATCAATATCACCGGATGCAGGCCTGTCGATCGATCGATCGATCGATCGATCGGTCGGTCGGTCGGTCGGTCGGTCGATCGTCACCGAGTAACACGGCGAATATCGTCCTCTTCCGCCCCTCCGAAAGCGCGGCTGCTTCGGAAGGGGCGTAAGCGCGTTAAATAATCATGCATGCTCGTGGATATATCGTCAATAATTTAAAGTGCTCGATTAGGCTCTCGTATTGCTGCAATTTGTGCGTCCGACGAACCTCCGCTGCGCGAGGCCGATTGATCAAGCGAGGAGAGGTTCCTTGATGCTTGACGCTTGAACTCCCGCGGAAGTTTGTCGAAACTTGTCACGCTAAAAAGGTCACGCGCAGTATATATTATATAATCTACAGAACGAGAGAGAGAGAGAGAGAGAGAGAGAGAGAGAGAGAGAGAGAGAGAGAGAGAGAGAGAGAGAGAGAGAGAGAGGGATACGCTGCGAAATAATTATGTATACCAATTGTGCACAGCGAGTCAATTTGTACAAGAGGGCCTCTCTCGCTCGCATTATCTCTCTCCGCCACTAACAACTTTCGTTTGTTTGTTGAAAATTTAATCAAGCAGCCGAAAGAATCGGTTCTTTGACCGATTCTTTGAAGTTTAGCTTGAGTATCGAATCGTTCAAAGTTTTTCCCAAAATTACGCACAAGATACTCCGCAAGACTCCAGTCGCAGTTCCTCCGAATCCCTCTCTGGATCTCTCTTCGACGTTTCGAATGATAATTCTTTCCTCAAACGCAACCTGTCCCGGTTTTATTACCTCGCAAGAGATCCCCAGAGTGCGACCGCGACGTCTCTCCGAACGACGGAATATAAATAATTCGGCGACTCGAGCGCGCGCCGTTATTATTAAGCACCGAATCGTCGCCGCTCCGCTCTCTCCCGATGATGATCCTCTCTCGCTCCTCCCTCGCTTCGCGATTTTTATCATCGTAAAATATTGTAGCCTCACAAATAGCTCAGTGTCACGTTCCACTCTGACGGCTTTACTGCTTTAATACACGCGCCACTATTGCGCATTAACGCACCGCGCCGCGACGCGCGATAAGTCGATCGACGTTAAAAAACGGCGGTCCCGTTATCTCGGCATGACAAGCCGAGTTGTCACAACACCGAAAGCACCGACGCTTTTATTGCAGTTGATGACACCGGGTCCGAGGGAAAGGGGCGAGAGAGCAGGGACGAGGTGCGGATGGGCGATAATATGTTGCTTCACGGCGGAACTCATTTTCGCGCGCGATAACGCCGCGAGTTACCTCCACCTCCTCTCTTTCTCTCTCTCTCCCTTCTCCCGACTTTCCGAATATATTCGCAGCCTTAGGCAGCGCCATTGTGCCGCTCTTTTCGTACATCCGTATCCTCGGAACGAAGCAGTCGCACTTTTCTACACCCTGGACTGACCCTCGTACACGCAGAAAAAATATTCTCTTGCGACAACTAAAAAATTTTCTCTTACATGAGGTTGCAGCAACGGAAAATTCTGTTTCGCCAACCGAAGAACCGTTCGCATCAACAATTGCCTTCGATCGAAGGGACAGAAACTTTCGGTCGTGAAAATGTAGTGACCACAGCGGAGTATTCGGCTACTCTTAAGCGTCGTCTACAATGGCAGTAAGCAATAAGAAGTAAGCGTAAGCGGTAAGAAATAAACCAATCACGGTCGATTATGACGAAAATAATCAACTGTGGTTGGTCCATTTCTTACTGTTCACGCTTACTTCTTACTGCTTACTGCCATTGCAGACGACACTTTACAGAAGGCGTGGAACCATATATGTAAAGAGAAAGGAAATCTCTCAGTTATACCGCGACCGTAAAGATTCTATTTGAAAAAGTTGAATAAAACGTTGCCAATGATGCGACCTTGAACCCGTGTGTGCGCTTTTCCTCTTCGCTTACGTACATAGAGACGCTTTGTTTCATCCATGTGAAGACAGTCGTCAAGCGAATACAGCGCAGATGCAAGATATGCATATTTATATAGGTCCATATTCTGAATTCTCTTTCATCGCTGAAAGTGAAACTCTGAAAGTAGTTCAGCCAATGAGAAGGCTTATTAGCCACTTTTGCGATCACTTTTAACGACAAAAGAGAGTTCAGGACATGAACCTATATATCATCATCTGCATTATTGTGCCGAAAAAGATACAATAACCATAAACATGTTTATCTCCATTGAAAAAGTTCGCTGCATCAGCAGACTTTTTAGTTCGCAAAACATTACATTAATTGCAGAGGAGGACGAATGAGACTTGTATTCTTGACAACTTAATGTTCGGCTGAGGTGAGACCGAATATATTTTTGGGACAACAGAAATGGAATTTTTCTGTTGTTGCAACCGAATTTTCTGTTGATTCCTCAGGAGCCCAAAGTTTCGGTTGTCGTAACTGAAATTCTGTTGTATCAACTGAATAATTTTCTGCGTGTACATTGCCGCAACCCGATCAACATCATCAATGAGACGGGAGCGATCCGCGCTTATTTTCGACCGAACGTCGATCGCCGAGGAACATCGACTGTTCGCTTCCTCGTCGTCGGCGCTCGCGCGAGCAAGAAAGGAGCGAACATTTCTCGGATACGGTATCACGCGCAGGAAATGAGAGAATAACTTCACGCAATCTCCAGAGTACGGGGTTTCGATGTTTTTTTTCTTCCTTTTAATTACACGAGATATCTAGTCCATATGTGTATGTATATAATCGCGCAGACGAAATGTTACATAGATCCGTAATGATACAAATACGAATTGTACAAGAGAAGCGAAATATATTTGCAAAATTTTATATATATATATATATATAATATTATATATATATATATTGTTTTTTTTTCAGCAGTCTATATCGGTATATTATATTTACGTAACTAACTCACCTACCTGTCTACCTACGATACATACATAGACAAAAATATATGTATATGTATATATATATATTTAAATAATATATATATATATATATTATATATATATATATACATATATATAAGTATATATATATATGTGTGTGTGTGTGTGTGTGTGTGCGCGCGCGCGTGTGTACGAATAAATTACGCTTATTTAGTTAGAAAAATTATTAAATAGTTTGGTATATATTCCGCGAATACAACAATCGGATACCGCCTACGATCGCTGTAGATCGCGACGACCGGGTCGATCGTTAGATCAGAATATCCTCGGCCTCTCCGTTTCCTCGTGTTACCCGTGTGTCGTTATAAATAATACAAAACGGTAAGTTTATAGGAAAGTGCGCGTTTATAGGAAATATAATAACGTCTTAACAAGTATCCCTCCGAAGCGACCGACGTATATAAATTAACAACGTAACGGGATCAGGACACTTTGAGAAATCACAGTTGAATGATCATAACGAGAGGCTCCCTAACCTAGGCTAACGTATCGCTCAGCTGAACTCTCGCGTGTCGCTCGGCGGGACGGGCGGAAATTAATCTTGAGACACACTTTTGCGTGTGCGGATGAACAGTCGAGCAGTTCGGCTCTTTGCTCGTTCGTGATCAATCGTTAAAATAGCCCTCCCCCCTCGATAAAGAAAAGTAGACGTATCGAGGAAGTGGAAAATCCGCAAACTCGCTAATGTACGGCCCGATTATAAATATTGCGATCTCTGAAATATGAATTTGGGGAAAGCTTCTTCTCGTCCGCTTGAAAACTGCGGCTGAAAACATTGGCGGCGTGTTCAGGTCGTCAAGTTAGAAAAACTTCGGATCTTACGCGATATTTAAACCTTACGTATGAAACTCCGGCCTAGCGCGGCTAAAATTTCTGCTGCAAGCTTGCTGCTGATAAGTCTGTTTAGCCTCTTTCTGACTCTCAATCGAACGTCATCACGCAGTTGCTTGAACTCGACGAAAACGCACACTGATCCTTGCGATTTGTCACCCCCCCCCTCTCTCTCTCTCTCTCTCTCTTACCAATGTCTCTTTTCTCCAATAAAGTTCATTATCCAAGAAGACGAATCGTGAAGCCGACGGCTTCCCGAAACGAGCGGAGCGTGGGAGCTGACGGAGCTTTGCGTGAAGCAATTCGGTAAGCCCGCTTTTTCTTTCGTCTCTTCGTTCATTCCGGAATTGTTGCCGATATATTAAGAGCGACATTACGCTTTCGATATCTACGACATCCCAATCCACCCAACTCTTCTTTCTCCTCCTCCTCTTCCTCCTCTCTGTCCACCTCCCTTCGTAAAAAAAAAAAAAAAAAAAAACGAATCTCTTACCTGCTGCAGCGAAATCATCGTAAAAATGATCGTAAAAAATAATCCGTTCCTCGCAGTAGAGCCATGCGAGGAGCGCGATATACTCGAGGTATTGTTCGTGTGGCGGTCATTTAGGCGCATTTGTGCATCTTGCAATTCGTGACGAACCCTTAGAGCGCGATCCACGTCTATAGACGCTGGGCAGGTCACGAGGGCGTGACGAAACGACGGGAGAGTGATCGAATCATATTCGCAAAGCGAGTTTTCATGGTTATTTCCTCGTCGTCTCGACACGTCGCCGTGATATCCAGTTCCGCCCCGGACGACGAAAGTCCTGGATGTGCGCAAACAGCGCGTCAAGTGTCTGCCTAAATTGTCAACACTTTGACGACCGCGTTTAACGCCGGCGAACTTCCGGCTGAGCCCGAAAGCTCGCTCAGGCCGTGTCTGAAAACGCACAAGCGACTTCCTGGAGTCTTTAGTCTTTCTACCTTCATACAATACCTTCTACAATACGATAATCATAGACCGTCATTATCGACAAACATCCTCTGCGCGACGACAATCGCTGATGGAATGAAGTCTCTCTCTCACACACACACACACGCACACACACACATGCGCGACAGCAGCCGTCAAAGTGTCAACACTTCAGCGCATGGAAGTGCCGCGCACAGCGGTCGCCTCGCTTCCGAGCGGCCGGCAGTCTAAGGGTTAACAAGTGTGCGAAGTAGGGTTGCCAGATGGCCGGGATTTCCGGGAATGTCCCGGAATTCTTAAGCCTGCCTCGTGTCCAGGAATTTAAGTCTTCCGGAAAATGAGAATTTCAACAAAATCATAATCGTAACATTCATGTTTCTATCTGGCACCAGAGAGAAAGCTGAGAGCTGAGAGCTGATAGGGTCGAATTTTTCGACGTGCCACCTAAGAAAATTCATGTCAACTAAGCCATTCGCGCGGTAAAAAATACAATCGCACGGTTTATGTCTAAACTTCTCTCTATTGCTACCTAAATTCACGCATTTGTTTGCTGCGAGTGCACAGCGGCATCTCTTAGCAGTCTTTTTTAGCCCTCCATCTCTCAAATTTAACTAAATTCTAACATTCTCTAACAAGCTATTTTCTAATCGTCGCCTAAAAATGTCGCGAAAATAGTCATTTCGCATCTGGCAACCCTAGTGCGAAGTTTTACAGGCCGTACGCGACGTGCCGTTCGTCGGCGGGCGTGCGACACACACACACACACATACACATACATATGTATAAATATATAATGTCGTGCGTAAAACAAGCGTGAGATTGTTCGTCCGAGGACACGCAGAGGTCGATTCGCCGGTCGACCCGCGCGCGGTTTGATCCCCGCGTCGACGCGGAGGGATCCTCATCGTCGCATCGTTCCTCTCTGCGACCGTTTGTGCGTCTTTCTCCCCTCCTGATATCTGCACGCAAGGTGCATCGCGAGCGTATTTCGACTCGACGAGCGTCCGATCGCACGCGCAAGTCTCGCCGACGTGAGGAAATTTTCAAGACAGCGGTCGACAGCGGCAGACGTCCGGACTAGCGATCGTGTAACTTTTCTTCCGAAGAGCGCGGAAACTTTCAAGTGTACTCGATGACCTTAGCGATCGTGTAACTCTCCGCGCGAGGAAGACGCGAAACTTTTGGCGTTTCCGCCCTTGAGCGGCGATCTAACTTTCCTCTCCGAGTGGAAAGTTCCGCGTTTCCATTGTTCCGGGGGCTCACGTGATCGCGAAAGTCATCAAGTTCGCTCGCAACTTTTCGCTTTCCACGTTCCCGCTCTTGGGGAAAAGTTGCGCGAGCGCCGGGATCTGTTCGCGCGGGAGTCTCTCTTCGAGTAATTTGTGCGTTCGGACTCCCACTCGCGGCTGGCATCCTCGTCATCTCCGGGCCCACCATCGACCCCCTTCGGCGCTCCCTCTCGTGCGTTTGGGCGTCAGTTAGGCGACGTCCGACGTTGAGAATGTCGAGTGACCAAAATGAGATTCGCTCGAAGATGCCGCGAGCGACCTATCTCCGGAACGACTGACTCCTGGCCGATCCTCGTGACGGAGATCCTCCAGTGAGATTAAGCGGCGCGGCTCCGGTTCGCGCAGACGCTCCCTCCGGGATGCCGCGGCCGGGAGAAACGCAAGTCGACACGTTCGACGCGGCCGTGCCAAATGATTTTGGGCGCGCTCGCCGGGAACTGGCTGGCTGGCTGGCTGGCTGGCTAGCACACGCATCGCGATTGGAGAACAGCCAAAGTGCTTATGAGCACTCTGAGCGCACCGTTAATCCGCCCGAGCCAGCGCGAAATCTCCTCGCGAATCGCACAGTGTTTCTCAAAGTGCCACGCGGCGTCGCGTCGCGTCGCGTCGCGTTGCGCAGAACGGAGACTTCTCGCCCGGAGACTTTGAGATTTCGTCACGCTAAGGAGAGATACCGCAAGTTGCGTCACTGCGGTGAAAACATCGTACAGCCTAGAATCTCAGATCTTAATATTAACGACGGACTCTTCGACGGATTTAGAATGGACTTTCTTGACATTAGACTCCGAAGTTCGTCCGAGGATCCTGATGTCATCCTCGGGACGCCCGGCATCGGGGATGTTAAAAGGAATACTGAACACCCCGTGAGATTCTTCGCGCTCTCTTGAGGATGAGACGAGAGAGAGAGAGAGAGAGAGAGAGAGAGAGAGAGAGAGAGAGAGAGAGAGAGAGAGAAGGGGACGGGAGGGAGGCAGAGGTAGGACTCGCCAAGGACCCGGAAACGATACGCGACTGTCGTAACTCGTCCGGGAACAACGCGTGTCGTAAAAGACGTGAATACCGCTCGATCATAACTGGCCTCCTAAAACCGCCGACGGATGCAATCTCCGTTTATTACTCCTTAGTCCTGTTTTTCTGGACGCCTGCCCGTCCGCGGGACGCCGCTGGGCGCTCGCGATTCGATCAAAGTCGCATCGTTCGGTACGCCGAAGGCAAAAGGAACAGCTTCCTTCCTTCCTTCCTTCCTGAATACGCCTCGCTTCGCCTCGTCTCGCCGCCAGGTCCTTGCGTGTTCCGCAAAGCAAAGGTCGACACTCGGATCTTGAGAAAGGATAGCCGAGGAAAGCAGATCTCAGAGCGACCCGACAGGTTTCCGGAAAACTCGCTTCTGAAAAACTCGCAGAGACTGAGTTCCCTCGCGTTCCGAATCGCACTCGACGAAAAGCGTTTGAGCCGCTTCGTCAAAGCCAGCGTGTCGACAACACCCCCGCGGACGATAACAACCCTTCGTGACGACGACAGGCGAGGCAGCCGGGAAAACGCGCGAATTCTGGAATTTCAGCGCGTCGGATTCATCGGCGCGTCGCCGCTTGGCGGCTCCGCTTCGTTAATCACTCGCTCGTTTGGCCGCAAGCGGGGAACGCGAAAGCGTCACTTCCCAGTCGTCGTCATCGTGCACGCATGATTCGACCACGACGGCGGATCATGATGTATCTCGGACGCATCGGGCGAACGTTTATGAACGCGCGAGTGTTTATTTGCTCTGCGGTGGTATCGAGTGTCTGTTTGCCGGTAGCTTAATGTCGCGATACGAGCGAGGCGCGGCGCGGCGGGGCGAGACGAACTTCTCACGTGCTCTTTTACGACCTGTCCGTTCCACGTGCGCGCCCGTTATCGCTGTCGTCGTCTACGCTCTTCCGACCCGCGCTGAGATCCCCGAGGATCCTATCGCGCACTCGTAAATCATGACGCACGGCTGTTCGCGGCCGAAGTTCTCGGCCAGCTATTAGAGTTTATTCGCCTGCGACGGCTCGCTCTTACGCAACGTCGGTCCCGTCGAGATTACGACGACGACGACGACGACGACGACGACGTCGAGAGGGAAACTAGGTGGCCGGATGGTCGCGGGCGAGACGGTGCTGGAGTTACAGTGAGATTCAGCGGAGATGATTGAGTTGATTCGTGTCGAGAGTATGCCAGAGATGAAGATCAAGTCGGATCGCACGGTTACTTCTCCCTTCTTCCCTCTTCTCTCTTCTTCCCCTTCCTCTCTCTCTCTCTCTCTCTCTCTCTCTCTCTCTCTCTCTCTCTCTCTCTCTCTCTCTCTCTCTCTCTCTCAAGGGTGACAAGGAGCTTGCGCATCGCCGACGAACGGAAACGATTTGACCGCAAGACCGACGCGCGTAAACGAACGAGATTACATAAGTACGTATAAAAAAATGCTCACGGACGACTGCACGTCCACTGTTACCAGCCATTCTTATCTACGTGTATAGGTGTGCGCACGTTGATCTTCAGCTCGACACACGACCTTCTGAAGCTCTTCAAGGCCGGGGATTTCGAGCGCTTGGCCGTCGTGGATCGTCGCGAATGACACATTCTCTCTCTCTCTCTCTCTCTCTCCCGGCCTCTGCGCGTTTCTAACGGGTTCGCGATTCTCCTCGCGAGCGTCTTTTCTCGCAACGTCGAAAGGTTACACATGTGTCTCACGAACACGTTGTGTCGGGCGAACAACACACACCTACCTACCTACCTACCTACCTACCTACCCACCTACCTACCTACCTACCTACCTATCTACCTACTTACCTACCTACTTACTTACCTACCTATCTACCTACTTATCTAGTTATCTACACCGCCCATGACTCCTCGTTCGCACGTACGGACGACCGAACGACGACACACCGCGGCTCGATAAAAATACGTCGATATACGCGCAGGAGCACACGCGTGGGCGTTTCCGCGTTCGAGCTTCGGGAAGTTATATTTGGTTTCACGAACGCGTGTGCCTGCCCACCTTGCTGCGTACGATTACAATACTGGAGTGTGTTTATGCGCGTGTGTGTGTATACGTGTGCGTGTTGATACGTTAGCTTAGCGAGGTGTACGTGCGTACGTGCGTGCGTGCGTGCGTGCCTGCGTGCGTTCATATGTGCATGCGTACGTGCGTGTAGAATCGCGCGCGAATCCCTCGGATCCTCGACACGACACCTCTCTGCCCTCCCTCTCTTTCTGCCTCCCATTTGTCCTCTCTCATCCTCGTGAACCTCTCGAGGAACACGTTCGAGTGGCACGCACGTCACCGGGACTGTAGGACACTTCGGGTCCGCGTTCTCTTTCGCTCTTTCTCTCGTCTACCGTTCGTCAGCGGGCATCGTGCAACCGCGTTCGTGCGGTTGCCGAAGACTCAGGCGCCACCTCTCCTTGGCGGGAGATTCCCGGATGTTGTTGTCGTCGTCATCGTCATCGTCGTCGTCGTTGTTGTCGTCGTCGTCGTTGTTGTCGTCGTTGTCGTTGTCGTTGTCGTCGTCGTCGTCGTCGTCGTCGTCATCGTCGTCATCGTCGTCGTCGTCGTCGTCGTCGTCGTCGTCGTCGTCGCCGTCGTCGCCGCCGTCGTCGTTTCAACCGAGGCAACAGCTCCGAAACGCCGGCGACCTCGATAGACTCAGGCTACTCGCGTTCGTCTTGGATCAGCTGGTCAGCATCTCCGAGCTTTGCGTCTGCGCCAACTCCAACAGGTGGCACTCCGACAGCGGGATCTCCCTCGTGCGGGCGCTCTGCTTCCTCTGCGTGTGACAAAATTATTATCCGATTAGAAGAGCATCACTCTTCTCTAATGAGTGTCTGTGCGGTAGCCATTGCGAGCGACCAGCTGCCGCTGCAACGTCGCTTTTGCGTCGCGAGTCTTCGCATCTTTCCCCCCCCCCCTCCTCCCGAGCGAGAGCTCTTGAGATGTCTCCATGAGACGACGCCGTCGACGTTCTCCGGACGTTTCTCAGCCGGACTTTCGACATCGAAATCTTTATCGATCCTTTCGTCGCCGCGTAATTCCTCGCCCTCCCACCAACGCACCAGGTGTACTTCAAGGTGCCTCACTCACACACACACGGCACCGTGAAAACGACGTTGCAGCAACCGCTGGCTCTCTCGATTATTCTGCTCTATCGCGTTCTGAAAAGTTCCCGAACGACAAAGAGACTCGTGGTCGCGCCGGTTGAAAAGCGTCTCGACACGTTCGTGACGCGGCGATTGCAAATTGCCGGCCGAATTAGCGGAAAGATTGAGACTCGAAAGGTCGAGGGGGCAATACGAGAGAGTTCAAAGTACAAAGAGAGAGTTCTCGCGAAAAAGAAAATTACCTTTCTCCGAAACGGAAAGCAGCCTCTGTCCTCATTGTTGGGCGGCGGATGGTTTATCAATAAGTCTGGAGTGGGCGTGTTGTTAGGACCTAATACGTTCAGCTCCTTAAAACACTCAGTCTCTATCATCTGCAAGAGGAGGAGAAACGTCGGGCGAGTTAGAACGGTGCGATTCGCGCGGCGAGCGAAGTGATTTAGAGCCGGCCTGCGGAAGCTAAAGGTGGCTCGTGCGTAAAACGCGTCTGTACGCAAACCGGAGCTTTAAATACACCCACCCGAATGACGCCAGTGATAACGAAAGCCCTCTTCCCCCTCCCTCCTCTCTCTCTCTCTCTCTCTCTGACGTAGGAAAACACTTTGTGCAAGACCCATATTTTTCGATTTAAGTGCTCGCTCTCCGTTCTCTCCAGATGCTCCCGAGCGCGAACTCGGTTCGCGCTCGGGAGCGATGCGTAACTCGGCGAAAGTGCCGGCTGCCGGCTCGAAGGGCTTTCAATTCGCGAGGATTTGATTCTGCGCTCTCCTTCGCAGTGCGCGGATAACGCCCGTTTATTACAGCGATTAGTCGGACCAAGACAATAGCTTGGTTCGCAGATGAATTTAATTCCTATTCGTGCACGTCACCGGGATCAGTTTTATCTTCTCGGAACTTCGGCTCAAAGTCCAGTCGCCGGGACGTCTCGAGTCCTGAGAGCTGACGAGAGCACGGTGACTAAGCGCGGATTTAGAGGCTTTCGGCGCGGCGTTTCTTCGATCTCGACAGGAGACTGATCGTGCGAATTTGTCGGAAATTCGTAGATCCGTTGTGAAGATGGAAGATTTCAGCAAGCGGTAAGTTGAGGTTGAGTTATTAGTCGCGCCGCCGATGTCCCGGCGATATCACCGAGCGCACTTGACGTGCGGCGCGTGGGCGATCGAAGCGACGCGATTTACACTCCAAGTTACAATGGAGATCTTGTTAAGTAGCCGGAGCCGTTGGACGCCGGGGAGCATCGGTATTTTTATACGACAGGGTCAAAGGCCTCGCGACTTGGCGCGAAGGCGCGTATCACGTGTCCCTCACAACCGGCGTTTGCGACGCGGACGTGTGACGGACGGACGGACGGACGGGCGTGTGTCTTCGTTATTACCTCGTTTTGCCATGGAATGGACACACTGCCGGTGTTGAATTTGCTGTAGAACGTGTCGTCTGTGGCGTCCAAATTGACACCTTTCACCGTGGAGAACTGCTCGATGTCCAGGACGTCTTTAGCGTAAACCGCGCGAGGCTGTAACAAAAACGAGCGGCGCTCGCTTAATGACTCGCACCTTCGCAGCCTGACACTCCTAAACGTCGTCCCGTATGATTCCTCGCGCAAACAGCGATAATTCGCCGTTAACGCGTCGGCCGCCATCGCAGTCGGCGCTATAATGCCGCCTTGTCTCGCTAATTTGCGCAAAGACCGATTCTCGCTATCCGTCAAGACGACGGACGAACAGAAGTCCGTCAATCCTCCGTCGGAGGAGCTTCTTCTCCTCGTCAGAATGACGGAAATGTGACGTTGCGAAAAATAATGTACTCGAAGGAAGCTAAGCTCTTTTACAAAAAGGCCTTTAAGAGCTGACGAGAATCAGTCTTAAAACGTTACTTGACGTATGACAATTTAAATAGATACATCAATTTAAATATACCGGCCGATAGGGATATCTGCATTGCGAATTGCAATTTGTTCGCCGCGTCGCGTTGGTGATTCAAACACGAATTGAATCGACGGAGGCCGGCGTGGCAGTCAACATGTCAACGCGCGTAAAAACCGCGAGGGTTTTCATAAAACATCGCACCGAGATGCTTTTCGCGATTGATTTAATAAAAAGCAACACCACGTTCCGTTTTATATATAATCCAATCAATAAAGACTGTCGAGATTCGTTTAGTGCAGGAATGCAAATAGCCGAACGGATAGCCGCCGCTTATTTTCAGTTCGCGGTATAGTACAGGTCAAAGAGAGAAAAAGAGAGAGAGAGAGAGAGAGAGAGAGAGAGAGAGAGAGAGGGAGAAAGAGAGAGAAAGAATGAGATGAGAAAAAAGCGAACGAGCGAGCGAGTGAGCGCACGAGTGCGAATCGAGAATAAAGGCAGAAAGAGAGCAGGGGAGGGAGGTGTGTGTGTGTGTGTGTGTGTGTGTGAGAGAGAGAGAGAGAGAGAGAGAGAGAGAGAGAGAGAGAGAGAGAGAGAGAAAGTAAGTCTCGACGCGGATAAGATAATCGATCACAACGGCACCTACTTACATCCGGCACAAACGGCGGTTCCCACATACCGGCCTCGACCCTCTTCCAGTTTAAGCACTGGAAAAAGCCGTGGAGCTTCACCTCCTTCGCCCCGTGCCGGCCGCACTTGCAGCCGAGCCTGCTCTTCGGGCTCTTCTTCAGCAACTGCTGGCAGAGGCTCTTGGCGTCCTCGCTGAACTTGGACGAGTACCTCTCCTGATCCTCTTTGACGCGTCTGTCGACCTCCTCGCGCTTGACCTTCTCCTTGCGGGCGCGGAAGGGCGCCTGGCCCTCGATCATCTCGTACAACAAGCAGCCGAAGCTGAACCAGTCCGGCGAGAAGGTGTACTTCTCGTTGTCGATCACCTCGGGCGCCATGTAGCCCACCGTGCCTACCCGGCCGCGCACCATGTCGCCCTCCGTGATCTCTACGGCGAGACCGAGATCGGATATCCGCACGTGACCGTGATCGTCCAGCAGTATGTTCTCCGGCTTGCAGTCCCTGTAGACGATACCCTGTAGATGAAGGTGCTCCAGGCCGCACACGACTTCGGCCGCGTAGAATCGGGCGCGATTTATGTCGAAACCCGGCTCACCGCCCATGTTGTAAATGTGGAACTTGAGGTCGCCGCCGTTCATGATGGTCAGCACGAGGCAGAGCGCGTCCTTCGTCTCGTAGGCGTAGGCCAGCGAGACGACGAACTTGGAGTTGATCTTCTGCAGGATATTCTTCTCGATCAGTACCATCGACTCGCCCTTGCGCTTCTTGATCCGCTTCTTCTCCAGCTTCTTGCACGCGTACATCTTACCCGTGGCGCGCACTTGGCAAGCGCACACCTCACCGAAACCGCCCTTCCCTAGTACCCGGTACATCCGGAAGGTCTTGTACGTCACCGGCTGCGCCTCCAACCATTTCCACTGAAGGTACCTGAGGAGGTCATTTATTTAACATTTATCAAGTTGTGTCGTTCATATGAATAGAACTCAAGTGAATATAAAGTAAACCCCCAAAAAATCGGAATTTGGCACGTTGAAGAACATATTAAAAAAGCTCCCTTCTGCTTTTCTTAAAAGCTGCCCATGGGGCAAACTAAAGCCCATCAATCAACCTACGCCGCGACCCTCTTTCTCGTGAAAGGAGAATTTCGCGCCGCGAACGGCGGTGCGAAATCGCTCACGATTTGCACCCCACCGCGTGATAACACGCGATAACATTGATCTTGATGGTCGCCATACCTGTAAAAGTAGAAACTGTTGAGGAACAACGTGAACGGCAAACCGGCCAGAAAGTTCTTCACCGTCTGCGCCACCTCGACGTACAGCTCCTTGGCGCCGGTGCTGAGACGCTCCTCGCACTGCAGGATCTGAGAATCGTTCAGGATGTCGATCACCTCGGAGTCCTCCCTCTTCAGGTACTGCTCGAACAGCTCCTTCGCCAGCTCCGTGCGGTTCTCGTCCATCTCGATCTCGTACTTCTCCATCGCGTCCAGGAAGAGGTTGTAGCGGTGGTAGGTCGGCTTCCTGTCCTGGCAGAACTGCCTGAATAGAAGCCGCCCGATCGGCTGCTGGTCCACGACATAGCTGTACCTGATGTCTGTCCAACATTGCGAACGTCTCTCGGTTACGCTCCTGCGCCTTGACGAATTTTTTTTTCTTTCCTTCCTCCCTCCTCCCCTCCCCCCCCCGTCGTCGCGCGAAATGAGTCCCACGCGTCACGCGAGTGTCCTACCTATAAATCTCTACTGATCCAGGACCGTAGGCTTCTCCTCCTCGAGAAGATCGAGAGGCGTTCCTCGTTGGTGAAATTGAAAGTCTCGCGTGCACGCGTGCGGAATTGATGATCTCATAATGGAGGAACGTCGGAATAACGCCCGTCCGAAAACTGCGATATTATTAATCTGACCGTTCATCATCGTTCGTTCGCGGGAGGGAGGTTCTCCGGGACTGCGCGGGACGAGCAGAGGGGAACAGCTTCAAAGCAACGGGAAAAAGAGCGGTGAGAGAGCTTTACGGCGCGCGATGGCTCGGAATAATAATGCCGCGGAATAAAACGTCGAAACGCGTTCGCGATACGAGAGACAGGCGCATTTGCTCGCGACTTTTGATTATTTCAAGCCGAGGCGGCGTTATCAGAGTAGGTTAATGGGACGCGCAACGAGCGCTGTCTCGTCCCTCCGCGCGTCGCGGCTTTTTTTAACAGCCGCGCGAGAATTATTTTTCATCGAGACTCGATAATCGAACGCGCGCGCGCGCGCGTGGCTTCCGCGTGAAATGTTCGCTTTTTGCCGAAGCCTCGGGTATTTGTGCAATCGATGCGCCTGAAACCGTACGATTTATTTATGCGGGGGGAAAAAGAGCCGAGGAAAAATGTCGCCTTTACTTTAATCTCGCGCGGTGTGAATTTTTACTCCGACACGACACACGACGCGGTTTAACGACCACGACGGCGACGACTCTTTGTCGACGCCCGAAGGGAATCGCCCCGCGAGTTGAATTTACACCTATTATTATGACTAATTACCAACGTTCGACCAACTCACCAAGCTTATCTTTTAGGCCGATGCACTGGGAAATGTGTGGGAACTGAAGTATCTTCCGCCATTTCTTACTCTTTCCTTTGTTGCTGTCACCACCGCCTGCGCATAAAACGACGCGAATTTACGAGGATTTCGCACAGGTGCTCGCAGGAGCGACGTCGGACGCGCTCACCGATCGGTACTTAATTAACGCACAAGTCCACCTTAACGCCTTCCGCCGTACATCGAGATTATGCTTCGTCAGAATAATTTATCTTCTTGTTTATTTATTCGTAATATACGGGTCTGGTGTACAATAATGGTGTACAATAAAAATAGCATAACGATTGAGAAGAATCTGACACAATGAAAAGGAAAAAAATTTTTTTTACATGATGTACAGTCACACATTCCGCATTCCGCATATGAATTGGATTGAACTTGAAAGTACAAAATGAGTCATGAAAGATATCGCAATCATTTAAGTTAGCGAGACGACAAATCCGGGTAATATACTGTGTGAAATTTACCGTAATTTATTCGATGGTGCTCAATATTGAATATACGTATTATAAGAGAGAACACACATTTAGGCGCCACATGAAGACCAAAAAGTTTAAACATATGATCCTACAATATATTACATAATGGAGGTGAAAACTCGTCACAAATTGTAATTACATGCAACAATTGTCTCCACCGATTATTTCGATATTGTTAGCTTTTTATACCGAATACAATAATACAATAAATCGATTAACTCACTCATCATTACACATGAGACGCGACGATTGATTAATCCTAATTTGTCGACTATTTTAACCAACTAGGATTTACCGATCTACTTGATTCAATCGCCCAAAACGTTGATTCCGTCCGCGTTTCCGCGTTGTCGAACCGGATCTTCCTTTCTTTCTCTCTCTTTTCCGAACGAGCTATCCCGAGATTTCACCGCTGGAATTCTTTTTTCCGTCACACGAACGGGGAAAACGAGGGAATTCTCCAAGTTGCCAGCTGCGACCGTTGAACGTTGATTAAAAACGAATACGCGCATCAGGTTCGCCAGCCTGATGGCTATTAATTAGAGATTGCGGGCGGATGCGGAGTGGAATTTGCGCGGCGAATCCCGGCGCGTCGGTGAATCTCAAAGCGTTCAAAGGCGGATTAAAAGCGCCGGATATAAAGCCGTCGCTTCATTGTACATCGGCTCGATGCTGATCCCGTAATCGTCGCGGCAGGAAAGAAAAGAATCGTGCTAAGACACGCAGCAGAGACGAATAAAAGTCGCGGGATAAAAGGCGTCGGCGGACATCAGCGCGGACGCGCGAGAACGCGTGTGACTGCGAGAAATGACTGCAATTTGGCAGCGCTAATACCTCGTGAACGTCCATTAATAACGGGCGATTCGCATGTCGCGGTCGTGTGCCAAGAGAAGCACCGCGAGAGCGCATCAGCCGAGAGACGAATTCGGGGGCGGGGGGCGGAAGAGGGACGAGAGCGCGGAGCTGGGGAGATCTTCCGAGCGCGGACGGACGTCTCCGTCGGGCGGCGCGAAATGCGCTGGATTGAAAAGTGCCGGAAGTTACGGAATTCACTCAGACGGGGATAACGGCGGCTATTGGATCGGCGTTACGAGATTTATCCCCCCCCCCCCCCCGGCGCGGTAGAACTCTCGAAACGACCTCGGGAAACTCGTCGCTGGGCATCCGATAGCGGTTAAACGAGAAGAAAGTTGCTTCCACAGCCGCGAGCGCGTCCGCCCGCTCATAATTCATCGCTGGAAACGTACGCGATATTTCCCACACGCCGTTCCGCAATTTCCGCGACTCCCCCGTGCGGAAAATGCCGGCCCTCCCGGCTCTCGCCGGCGGCGAAACACGCGCGCGGTATAATATATCTTTACAAATAATTATAAAAAAGTAACGGGGCAAGAGAGAGAGAGAGAGAGAGAGAGAGAGACAGCGACGAGAGCACGTACTCGTCGCCGTTATCCGAGAAACGTGATCGCGGCGATAACCGTCACCGAAGGAAGGAAGGAAAACAACGACGCTGATTCGTCGTTGTTGGAAAAGAGATAACTCGTGACGCGCTAACGCGTCACTTCCCAATTCCGAAATGGAACCTTACCGCTCGCATCCGTCGAGCGACGAGCGATCAAAATTGAGATTAATTACGCGCGCAAGACGCGCAAAAGCAACGCCGGCAAGACGCTCGATATTAAATACAGGATGTCCGAAAAAGCGGCGATAATCAATTCCGAGGCTTCAATCAACTCGTCAATCTCACCGCGTCAAATATCGAGAAACCGATAATCTTCATATTAAAGCACGATCGAACCTCTCCCTCCCCTCCCGGCCGCTATCCGCCAAACTCTCAGGCGCGCTCTCTCTATCCGGCTCGTGATCGCAAAACAAGTTTCGTCGCGCGCTTCGACATTCGCGCGACGACAAACCCTCACTGTTATCGCTCGTTGACGGAATTCTTTTTTATCTTTTTATATCATCCGCCGGCCCCCGCTCTCCGCCCCGACCACCGACGCGAACGTTACAATATCCGATACAGCGTAGCAAGCGCACGTGCGCAAAAAAGGAAAAAAAAGAAGATAGAAAAATAGCGATAGCGTTGCAAAACGCGTCGCGCCGAACTTGTCGAGAGATAATTTCTGTTTACCGATTACCGATAGCGTTACAAAACGCTCGCGCGAAACTCATTTCACGCGCTTTATTCGCGACAACTTTCGCGGCTATCGCGCGCGCGTTGGCGGATTTTATCCCTCCTCTCTTTCTTTCCCCTTTGCTTTCGGGCAATATCGACGACGCGAACGCCGCAATATTCGTCGCAAAAATGCCGGCCGGCCGGCGTCGCGAGACGCGAGACGCGCGCCGTGTAACGTCGCGCGATAATGATTTATGGCGCGCCCATTGTTGTGACGGAACTTTCTATCCGATAATCCCGCCGCTCGATATCACAGACGCGGCAAAAACGGCCGGCCGATTTATTGCCGACGAGTAAAATACGGCTGATAAATGAATCGTTAGAGAGGAGAGAGACATATAGAAAAGAGATAACCACGTGTGAAGCAGCCTCGCAGCGTTTCCCAACGCCGCCGCGAGACCTCGCACGGCTTCTCTCTCTCTCTCTCTCTCTCTCTCTCTCTCTCTCTCTCTCTCTCTCTCGGCCACGACAGGTTCTTCGATCGACGCGAGATTGATATTTTTTGTGTCCTGCGACGACACTCCCGCACCAATATCGTTCTTTCTAGGCGATTGAGAGTCTGGAGAATTATTGGTTCGGTTATCGCGCGGGGGCGAAAATGCAGCCAACGGGGCTTCGTTCGGGGCTCCGGGTAAGCGTTAATTTATCCCAATCTGGATTCGCGAGGAAATGGATAGGGGATAGGGTAAGTCCGGGATAGATGGGCATAGGGGATAGATGATCAATTGCTAGAATTTTGTTAATATATGCTAGGCGTCAGCGCTGATCGCGCAGCTGTGAGTTGGATATACCACGAGTAGCTGTCTCTCTTCCTGATGCGCGAAAATACTGTTATCGCGAGTAAATAAATGTTTTATGTTTCTATTAATCTGCAAAATGTGTGTTTCACGCGCCGGAAAAGTATCTTGCGAGTACGATTGGTTTTGAGTTACAACGTTAGACCTGGGCTTAACTTTTAGAGGACCGGGGTGGCTCCTATAGGAGCCACATATAAGTCGGCATTCAGTGTTTTCTTAAAGATTATATCATAGTTTCTTATGCATTTATGTCGATGTTTATGTGCTCCAAAAATATATTTGCATATATGTTCGTGTGATTTTTACCTTACTTGTAAATAAACATTTATTAACAAGTACTTGTAACATTTTAACTGCACAGTAATTTGCATCTTAGTACGTTTTTATTTATTATAGGCCCACCTTCTCTCAGAATTATATAAAATCAGCACACAACACTATTAGAGTTTCGAGATTGCGCACAGTGCGTGACAACAATCACTCTAAAAGTAACAAATAAGTATAAAAAATACAGAAGAACAGTTTTCGAAATAAAACAAATTTTCATTATTTTTTAAAACCAAAATTTAAAAAATTATAAAAAAATTGAAAAATAAAAAAATTTGAAATAACAAAAGATATAAAAAAACAAAAGAGCTGCATAACTTTCCACGTCCACGTCGTTAGCTTTGGGTTATGCTAAAGGAAAGTTTTATTACCGTATGAGATTACTTATAGTAATATAGACTTTTTTATTTTAGGTAAATAATTGCCTTTGTAAAATTTCGATAATCTGATATCAAAATGATGATCAGCGATATAAAGAAAAACCCTAAAAATGCCAAGATCCAAATTTTGAAAACTTTTTATTTTGGCCGTTCCCCGTTCCGGACCGGGGTAGTTCCTATAAGAGCCACTAACAAACTCGAAAACTTTACGCGACATGATGGTTACATATATATATATATATATACAAATTTTCCGCGAAAAAAATTGCAAATTTTAAAGAAAAAATGCCGGTCCTCTAAGGGTTAAACGACCAAAAAAAATTTCGTGTCTGCGTGTTCAACCTCAAAATTCGGCACCAAGACTACGCTTCACGCGGTATGCGCATCTTTCGCGCGAACTCTCCAAACAGAATAGATGGCTCATTTTGATCAAGGTTAGATGGGCGGTCTACTTGGCGAGAAATAGCAAGCGATGGACATCGAATCGAACGTTTTCTTTCGACTAGATGCTTTAGACGTACAAAAGACGTCGATCCGAGCGAAATCATTTTCCCCTGGATACCTAACACTAAAAACTTCAGTACATTTTAAACAGCTTCTCGTTTCGTTTAAAGCTGCCGGGTAGATTCCTTTCTCTTTTCTCTCTTTAATAAACAATGTTTTCCCACAGGGCTTTTTTCTGTGTCGCCACTTTTCAACCTTCTCTCCAATGTCGTCCTTGGTCGTCCTATAAGAAACTTGTGAAAATGTTTTATTTTATTAATAATTATAATAAAAGAATTAATAAAAGAATTAATAATTAATAGAAGAATATAAAATACTAATAAAAGAAATGAAGATAAACAAATTTCTACATTATTATAGGCATGCCTAACTATCCCTTCACATATAACCATCTATCCCACGCCGAATATTTTTAATATCTCGTTATTACATGGCGTCCCATGAATTTTTTTTGCAAAAATTCTTCTATGCTTTAAACATTATTCTCTACTGAGTGTGTTAATATGTTATTGATCATTTATCGCAATAATGTCGATGTATTATTTCCAATTAAAAAAACCAAATAAAAAAAACCAAAGAGACTGATGGCGGTGAGTTCTGGAACACGCTGTATATTCATTTGCGCTAAACGAATTCTGGTTACGGCGAAAAGATGCCGCGCACCTCGCCGAGAAACCCGCAAATTCCCTCACGACGGCGCTATCGATCGTGCGGAAAAACCAGAAGGACGCGGAAAAGCGGGGGGGGGGAGGCGAGGAGAGACTTACGAGGCCACGTAGCACGCGTGGTCCTTGGTCCCAGTTTTTCGCTCCCACAAACGTGCGCTCGTCGCACACGTCAGCCCGAGAGAACGCTATATTTGCTGTACGTAGATAATGGATTATCTGTGGAATGTCGGCTATGGGAAACCACGCATCGGGGTATCGCGGAGGAAAGTCGCGTCTTTTACTTCCTGCGCGGGGACCTTTACCACTGCTCACGGGCGGGAAACTTGGACGAGGAATAAATGACTCTGTGTCGGGGATAATACAAACGATCGTTCGGGAAATTTAAACGAGGGAAATCAAGCAATCGATCTTTGTCGCTGAGCGAGCATCAACAATAGTGCGAGTCGGAGGTAGCGATGAAAGTGAGCGATGAGAGTCTCTTGGAATTTTTCAGAGCGAAGTATCATTCGAAGTGATGGTGAAAGTGTACCATCGCAAAAATGAACGTTTCGCTGGAACTCGGAATGCAAAATTTCTCAATCTTCATGAAAGAGTATTCAAGTCGATTAGAATAGATTTATTCATGTAGATTCTTCAATCCGGCGTAAATTTCGCGCGAAAATTCACTCGACGATCCCGAGAGGAGAATTCAGCCTGATCTGCGAACAAAGAGTCACTCGAATTTGAGTGACGCGGTCATCGCTCTGCATTTCGAACAGGATTGTACCCGAGAAAATTTCGACAGTATTCTTATCAAAGCGACGACAATCGACTCGCGTCATTGAGGTGTTTAATGATCTAATCAATTAATCAGATAAGATTACTGTCGAAGAGTCGATGTGAATCCGAGCCACCGACGACGAAAACGAAACTCCAGTGTCGCGGTGTACGTGTTCGTTTCGAGACACCCTGTATATTCCAGCGACGTGCTCGGGCCCGCTCGTTCGATCCCCAACGAGCGGAAGTCGAGGGTCGCGTAGCTCCACCTTCTTCCACATCGGCGGAGGAAAAAGGAGGAAAAGCGGGGGAGGATATGCGGCGCTCCGATGCGTGCGAATTGCATCGCGCGGTAGGACGAGATCCTGTCTACTGCACGCTGCATCCTGCCGAGCAGAACAGGCCTGCATATCGTATTCCACTATCAATCATAATACACGGGTGGAAGCGTGAAGAACGTTCGGAAACGGTAAACGAAGGTAATCGACTCGTAACGCGGTCCGAATTTCCGCCTCAAATTTGCGTCGACAACAATCCATCGGCGGGAAAGCCGTTTTGATTGGAAATTCTTGATTCGGAGATATCTGTCGGCTTTTGCGAGAATAATTGAATTGAACGATTATAGAAAAGCGCGACTCTGCTCCATTAATTAATAATTAATAAATTTTCTCTCGCGAGTAAGGATTATTATTATAAAAATATTGTTGTTCTTATTATTATTATTATTTTTGTTGTTATTGTTATTATTATTATGAAAATAATTGAAGCCGCAAATAACTGCAGACGTCGAAACGGCTGTAGAAACGACTGTAGTTCCGGTCGACTACGAAGATCGGCCAGGAGAAACGAGACTCGAGGAGCCGCGAAATTCGCCGGGACCTGTCGAGCGCCGTCGGAGGATTCGTTCCGCAGGCTCTTTTGCGCCTTCAGCAAGAGCCGGACTCGGCCGTTACCTCGATGGCGCAGGGTCGCGCGTCCTATCCCCTATCTGATCGGAGCGCGATCGCGGCGGCCGATCGGCGCGAAGTGAAAAACCGCGTTCGGCTCAGTGAGTCGCATCAAGAGGGAAGGCAAAACATCGACAACGAGCGCGGCCGCTCTTGCTCGATCCCGCCGAGCGGTGAAAAAAAGAGACACACACACACACACAGGAAAGAAGAGGAAAGAGGAGCGGGAAGAAAGACGCTCGACGTAGTCGGAAGTGAAATCTGGAGGAGGATCCTCGCCGGTCCTCCGCGGCGCAGCTGAGGAGAGAGACTCCTCGAGTCCGCTCCAAGACCCAAGCGTGTAAAGACTCGGAACGGGCGAATCGTGCCGAGTCACCGCGTTCTCTCCTCGTCTGCCGCGAGCGAAAACGCATCGCGCTTTGTTTGCCTGGGCCGGTCGAGCTCGACGAACAAAGCGCGATTTATTCGCTTCCATTAGCATTCATTAACTTTCGGGGCTAAGTGTATGCGCGGTATTATTATGTATTATGTAAAGCGATTATTGTGTGTGTGTATGTATGTGTGTGTGTGTGTGTGACTCTGAGCGCGAAAATTCGTCGGCGATACAGCCGAAGTGGCGCGATGCCGCATCTCGACTCCGGAGAGTGGAACGCGGCCGTGGAATTTTCTCACGCCTCGTCATCATCGCGTAATTATATCAGCGTGCGACACAGACACCGTCTTCCCCGGCTTCATTTATGATAATTGCAGCCGCGGATCCTCCTCGCTATCATTATGATAATTGAAGTTCCCCCGCGACGCGACGGAACGTGACTTTCGATTATACACGGGCCGCTCGCACCGGCAGGTCCTGCTCCACAATAGGCAGGACGGTGAGCCTTTAGGCTTTTGCTCTCTCTCTCTCTCTCTCTCTCTCTCTCTCTCTCTCTCTCTCTCTCTCTCTCTCTCGACTCTGAACTCCATTTTCGGCCGAAGGCGTCTTTGCCGCTGCCGCCCCCGAGGTTGTAATCCTTAGGCTTCGAGCGAGCTCGCGCGACAGCTCGATTCCAGCTGCGAGGGCAGCGCGGAGAGGGCGTTTCCTTCTGTTAGCAGATATTACAGGACTTGTAGCAAAAAGCTGCAGGCTTACCACTAACACCTATCGCAGACCGGGCTTAATGCACTCCCGAGACGTCCTCGGCATCCCCACGCTGCGCCCGCCGTCTCGCTCAACGTCAGCCTTCTGTTCGCAGGGTGTCCAAGGACCTCCATTGAGACCTCCTCGCGAGCGAACTTCACACATTCGCCCCTTTGCATCAGACTCGCGCGCGTCTGTGGCTGAAAGCGTTCTCTCCCGGAGAGCAAAGGAGAGGAACTTAGAAGGGGCTCTTCTGGAGGAAAAAGAGTCGGGAGAGAGCGGGAGACTTCGGGCTGCAAAGTGCACGCGCGCGAAAATCACCACGAAGAAACAATCGCGTCCGGTTGAGGCTTGAGTCAAGATTAACTCACCGCCGGCACACTCCTCTCTGTGTGCCACCCCGCCCTCCACCCCTCCCCCCTCCACTCTTTACCCGCCCATCCGACCAGCTCGTAAAATGTCACGACGCCGCACAACGTACAACGCGCGGAGGAGAAAGAGAGGCGGCAAACGAGCCAGCGCGCGGTAAATTGGGATTTCGCAAGTGGGAAACTTTTTCGCCGGCGCAAATTGATTACAGTCATTTCCCGATCGCGGCCGTAATTACGTCACCGCGGACAGCGCGGGTATGAAACCGCTAATTAACCCGTTACCCCAAGCCCGGCTCCCGTATACTTAACGTAATTTGCGGCCGGGTCTCTCTCTCTCTCTCTCTCTCTCTCTCTCTCTCTCTCTCTCTCTCTCTCTCTCTCTCTCTCGGCTTTCATTTATAAAGTTTATCAAGGCGATGCGATTACAAGGCCATTGACTGCCATCGCTGGCTCGCTATCACGCGAACCCATTTACCTACTTTCCGACCACGCGACGCGCCTGCACTCTCTTCGACAGGACGTCGTTCGTAATATACTAATTGAGCCGGCCCGATGTGTGGCATCCCTTCCCCCCCTCCCTCCATCCTTCCGCCTCTTCTCTCTCTCTCTCTCTCTCTCTCTCTCTCTCTCTCTCTCTCTCTCTCTCTCTCTCTCTCTCGCCCTACCTCCCTCCTCTCCCTCTCTCTCTTTCTTAGTACGCGCGCACACACTAACACGGCCAATCGCAATTTACGATAATCGACGAAAGTTAATCCCGAAATATGCGGGAAAATTTCTATGCAAATAACACTACATGTCCGGATGTGCTCCCCGGGTTTTCCAATCCCGAGGCTTAAAGGTCTAACGACCGAGCGAGAGGGCTGGGTCCCTCCCCAAACGACGAAAGGTGGATTACTTCGGGGGAAGAGTCTGGTAAGACGGCTTCGGAATTTCCGGCGCGATAATTGAAAATACGGAGCAGGAGGATGGGAGATCGCTTTGGGAGATCTGCTTCTTTCTTTTCGGCTGCACTCTGGAACTCTGTTCGTTTCCTCATCAAAGTTCGATCACACATTTGTTGCAGTCTAACGCGCCAAACAGGCGCCAACTTGACTCTCAGAAGAGCAGCTTCCTACCCTCTTTCGGAAACGTTGATTTACTCGGCATATGAGGCCGAGCTTCTTCCGATCGATTTCACTAATTCTCATCGGCATGAATATTCCTTCCCCCCCCCCCAACTGCGGCTATTAGCGAAACGCAGTGTTGCGGAAGATGTGGCGCGGGAGGGGAAATACAAAGAGAACAAAAGGGGCAGCCCATCGAGCTTCGAAGAGCGAAACGACACGGGGAAAATTTCGCTGCGTGGGACGGGGAAAGCGCGGGAAAGCGGGGCTTTCCCGGGGAAGCGCAGGGTAGTAAACGCATGTGCCGCTCCCGCGGGATGCGAGTCGCAGGAGTAAAGCGCGTCGCGGTGCTTTTTGCTGCTTTCCCGCGGCGAAAATGATCGGATCTTTTCTCCCTGCAAAAATCTGCCCGACCGCCCCTCTACCCTTCGCCGTCGAAGATGTGCGTCGTCGGCGACGCTATTTCCACGTCGGCTCGAATTTGCCACGTAATCGCGAAATTTTCGCGCTAATTGCAAGAGGCCGGGGTAGGGAGGGGAGGACAAAAGAGAGTCGTCGGCGAAAAAAATCAGAACGGAATGATGCGAAAATCAAGCCGCGGATTTTTCTTTTTTTCTTCTCTCTATCTTTTACTTTTTTTCCCTTTTTATTGTATGAAAATCCTCTTACTTGTTATACTATTATCTCAATTATTGTACACCAAAAGGGTCAGACCCTTATTATTAATAAATATTAACAAATTATTAATAATTTTTATTAATATTATTATAAATAAATAAATAAATCATCCTCGAGCGCGCCCGCGTGTCCGCATCGGACGCGCGGAAAAGGAGAAAAGAGTCTCGAGTCGAGAGACGCGAGTCTCCGGGTTGCGCGAAGTTCGTGGCGCAAACTGCGCTCGAGGGACACCGAAAGAAAGATAAAAATGGCGGATCGGTAGTTCGACGCGAGAATTTCGGCTGCGAGATTTAATCAACGCTGAAAGACTGACGCGAAACTCAAGCGAACTAGCTACATGTACGACGCGGAAATATTGAACTGCAAAATTTCATCAAGACTGAAAAAGTTGACGCGGAAGCAGGACGTGGTTGCACGTGCGATACGCGGGGGAGAAAGATTGGCCACGTAAACGCGACGATGAACGAGCCGAGGGAAATTTCTCGTTCTTAAAATCGTCGAGTTGGACTCGACGAGACCGCGAGAATCCTGTTTCCCGTTGTTATCCGTGTATCACACAGCTACCTAGTTTTGCTAACCTCCCACAGTCGATTAAATCGCTGCTTCTTCTGTTGCTCTGTCAACCACTAAAAGATTGATCTAACCGGATAACACGTGTAATCCCAGCGCCGGTGGACGGTTCATTAAATCAGACGATAATTACAACGGACAATGCGCCGCGCCGGGTGGAGCTTGACGCGACGCCTCGCTGAACCGAATTTCCAGCTTGTTCTGCACAAACCGGAGACAAAAGAGGAGGCAGAAACCGAGAGAAAATCAGTCGCGAGACTCGCCATACACAGAGCCCGAAATTGAATTCCTTCAACTCGGCTCACGTGGTCCCGGCAGATCTCTCTTCACAGCGCGATAAATGCTCGGTAAATTGATAATAATAATAATAATAATAATAATAAATCACAAGTGACAGAGTGAATACGCGTGCGATCCGTCAATGGGGATTTTATCCGGGCGACGTTAGCCGGGACGCGGCTGATTTAAATTTCATCGAAATCCGTGGCGGGGCTGTGAATATCTCACCGACGGCGTCGCAGTGCGCGGTTCCCCCCCCTCTGTCTCTCTCTATCTCTCATCGGGAGACGATCAAAACAAAGAAGAAAAACAGAAGGCGCCGTCTCTCACGAGTGGCTTCGGAGCGCGCTTACGCCCGCCGGCGCGATACACGTCAGCCTCTCTGCCGGCCCGTTCCTGTATATCAATTAAGTAACAAATATATGGCGGTGATATCGGGCAGCGTGCGATTCCGTTCGCGTGGTGTATGTCGTCATTTCGTTTAGTTCGCCGGCCGCATGTTGGCCGCGTGCAGCAGCCAAGGGCGTCGCCGGGGGATGCTCCGCTCCGTCGCCCGAATACGTCGTCGTCGTCGTCGTGGAGATTTCGCGAGATTGCGAAAACGCACAGTGTAACCGTCTTTTATGCCGCCTCGCTGCCGTCGTATCGCTGGGCCGAGCATCGCTCTAGGCACGTGAATTGATGCTTACGCTACCGGGCGCGGTAAATCGCGCAAAAGTGCTCCTCGGAGACGGCGATTTTCGAATTTCCCCGTCGCGTCCGCGAGCCGCGCCGTGCTAACTTCCCGTCCCGCGTACTGTGTTCCGGTGTAAATTTGCTTCCGCAGAGTGATCCGCGCGATAACGAGAGAAGGAGGAAGGAAGAAAGAAAGAGAGAGAGAGACGATTAATTTTTCGTTCATGTCTGGCGGTAGAGGATGACTGAACAAAAGAAGCCGACATTCAAAACTCAACATATTCCTCTTCATATAAGAGAAAAATTAATTGATAGAAGAGGAAATCCTCTTGAAGTAAGAGGAAAACAATTAGAATAATATGCAATAAATTTTAAATGAATGGTTCACTTTAATCGCTTTATCGAAAGAGGAATCCTTTTCCTGTAAAAGGTTTCGCTTAGAATGTATTAAGATGTACTAAGATGAATGTAATAAGATTATAGGAAAAATCATTTTACAAATAGAATATTTTTTTTGGGTGAGAAAAAATGAGTCTGTATTGAGAGCCTCACTGCGAATTGATTATTTGTTTAATAATCTTCCGCGCAGAGATAATAAATCATTTTCGATGCTTTTTAAAGCAAATGATTCAAGCTTTGATCTTTGATGAAAAGATGAAGAGTACCGACGAGTGATCGTTTGATCTCTTGTGGTCAAATGCTGAGCGAATGTCTGGCGGCGCCTATGAATGACAGAGGTGTGCTGAGACGTGCCTTGCCGAGCGGGTGAAAGAAAAACACGACGTGTTCTCTCTCAATCTCTCTGATCGTTTTGCGATCGTTGTAGAGATTTTTTACTCCGATCTATCGCTCGCGTTACGGCGCTCATGCTGTCGGCGCCGAGTGTTTTAACCATCGCGGTCGTTTTAACACGCGTGTTAAAGCCGGTCTCGCGCGGGAAAACGTGCGCGTGCAATAAATATCGTAACGTCGTCCGCTTGCCGGCCGGCGCTTTGCGAGACCCGACGCATTGTGCCGCGGAGACGCGGAGAAGCGATGTCGAGAAATCAGCCGGGAAGTTTGGCCCGATTCTTCCGACGAATTTCACTCCGTCGCGTTCGACGGGATGCGCGCAGATTATTCATCGCGTAATCATTCGCCGAGCGGGCGATCTCGTCGTCGCGTTCTCTGCGGATCTTTCGCTCCCGACGTTCTGACAGCGGAACGTTATCGGCACCGTTACCCGCGTTAGATGAACATGACGTCATGTGCTCAAGAGCGAGCCGAATTTCTCGCCTGACTTGATATCACGGCAATTGTAAAATTGCCGTCTCTCGGGTAACGGCATCATAAGCGCGGCGTTTGGATTAGTAAAAAGAGAAGGATCGCGCGTAGATTCACCGATAAGAAATGCTCATCTCCGGGCGCGCGAAGCCTCCATCCTTTCTCCGTAATCCTCGCGTCTACGCGCGCATGTGAGAATTAACGTAAATTTCATAACGCGAGAGAAGCTACAAGAGGGGGGGGGGAGAGAGAGAGAGAGAGAGAGAGAGAGAGAGAGAGAGAGAGAGAGAGAGAGAGAAGGAAAGAGTTGCGTCCTCGAGACACACAAATTACGCTTGAATTTCCTCGGCGGTATAATGATGAAAGCAACATCGCGTTTCTTTGCGCAGTCCGCAGGATGAACTTTCTCGACTCGGCTCGGCGAGTCAAATGCGAAGGTAATGCCATGGCCGTCCCGGGTGCATATCGCGTGTTAAACCCGAACGCTCAATCCCGCGGTTCAAATTGCGGGGCGGTTTTACGCGCGCAATAAATGTCGCCCGCCCGAGCCCTCGGTAATCACCGAGCGCTGTGCAAAGTGTGTTCCGGGAGAGTTACACGCGCATACGCGTGTGCGAGCACACAGAATTTTAACGTTTCATCGCGCTGATCGACCGAGCCTCGCTGATTGTTGCGTTTCCGACACATGTAACAATTACAAGCCGATCCGCGCGCGTTAACTGTCGCGCGTTACAAAACGCGATCGCCGTAAATGTCTGGCCATCGAGGCCGCCATGAACGCCTCCTCACGAACCTCGCCTCGTCGCTGCTCTGAGGGTTATGAAAAAACTAGAGGTGTAATTTTTCCTCCAAGTCTTCGTATTCAAAGCTTCAATACAAAATATTCGACGATCGAAGTTTCGAAGCTTCGAAGCATCGAACCTTCCAAGTTTCGATCTTTCAGTCAACTTCGAAATTTCGAGAATTCGAAGGTGTTCGAGAATCGAACGACGAGCCGATACTTTTGTTATCCATAAAATGTAGAATATATGACTGAGGCGGCTCAGCATGCGGAAACAAAGAGCGCAGGCTCGGAAACAAACGTCCGACATCCTTCGAAGCTTCGAAGAGTGATATCTTCCAAAAATAGTCTTCGAAGCTTCGACATAAAAAACTTCAGAAGTTTCAAAGTCGACTTCGAAGCTTTGAATATATCGAATATATTGAAACTTCGAAGCTACAGCATAAAAAACTTCGAAGTTGACTTCGTAGCTTCGAATATATCGAAACTTCGAAGAGTGATACCTTCGAAGACTAGTTTTCGAAGCTTCGGCATAAAAACTTGGAAGTTTTCAAGTCGACTTCAAACCTTCGAATCATTCGGAGAGCTTCGGAACTTCGAAGCTGCCGAAGAGTAACAGCCTTAGAAAAAAACACGTATAAAAAAAGATCCCGACTCGTGCGAGAGAATAAGAGAAGGCTACACGAAAATTCGCGATGCAGAAATGATACTTCCGGAAATAAATAAATTAATTAATCGTTTACACTCGTCGACGTACAACTTGTCGGTCCCGTGGCGTCGTTTCTTCGTCGTCGAAAATCGGACTCGTCGAGATTACACCGCGGTTACGAGCATCTCATCGTGTCGTGACTTTCGCTCGCTCTCTCTTTCTCTTAGTCTCCCCATCTCTCCGCCTATCTCGTCACCGTCGACTATCAGGAAACAATCTTCATAGATACAAGTCCCCGTTCGAGTCGCACAGGCGACTGTCTGGATTGCCTAATAACCACCTGTGCTCGACGAGCGCGCCGGCCGACGACACGAGACGCTCTCTCACTCTCTCTCACTCTCTCTCTCTCTCGAGAAAGAGTGAGAGAAAGAGAGAGAGAGAGAGAGAGAGAGAGAGCGAAGGGGACTCACCTTCTCTCGCTTTCAGGTACACGGTGTTCGCCACGATGTTCTCCAACTCCATCAATTCCAGCTTGATCGGATTTGCGCGGCCGAATCGGATGGGAGAAGAGGCCTCGTGGTCGACGACGTGGTCGCGCGGGTGCGAATGCCAGGAGCTCGCACGATTCTTGCTGTCTCTGTCGCTGCTGCAGCTGCTGTCGCACGGGGTTGATCACCCTGCCGGGTCCTAGCAGACCAGCTCCCATCTGCGGCCCTGGGACACCACCAGGGATGATCGGTCCCCGCCGCGCGAGGACCACCACGTGCGAGGGAGCCAACGACGAGCGCGGTTGGTCTCTAGTTGCGAATGATCTTCTTGAGTCGCGAGCAGCGTGATGATCCGACGAATCAGGCCGATCAGTCGACGATGACGGTCCACGACCAGGTCGCAATCACCGGGATTTATGAGCCAGTCGCACCGATCATTCGCGGTCGCTCCAAGAAACGCGCGACGACGACGTTCGATTTGGCGTCTCCCCGGCTCGATTCCCGGGAGACGACTTCTCGACCACGAGGAAAGATCGTTGGAGTGTCTTCGCGTCAGCTGCTGGGAGGGAGACGATTATCGAACAACGGCACCTGCGACCAAGTTCCGCGCGTGAGGATGCTCGCTGGCTGGCTCTCTCTCTCTCTTCCTCCTTTTCTCTTTGTTCCTCTCTCACCCTCTTTCTCCGTGTCTTTGCGCTTTCCGCAGCTGGCTGGCTGAACAATTTCGAGGCCGTTTCCACCCGCGCGCAATTAGGTTAATTAACGGTAACTTAGGTGTACATATCGTGGAAGGCGACGTTGCTGAATTTCGGACGCGAAGCGAAGAAGAATGCGACGTCGGGATCGATGAACAATGCGACGAGGCTTTTGTCGTCGACGCAACGAACGACTGCGGATCCCGCGTTCTAATCAGTCGGCAAATATTTTATCAGTCTGAAGTCTCTTCTATCTTAGTAGGCGCGATGACAGGTCACCGAAGTAGCGTGCACCCAAGTGGAGTGTAGGCGTGTGCACACACACGCGCGCGCGCGCTCGCTCGCTCGCGTTATCATCAATGGAAGAAGCTGTGTCACCGTCCGTCCGGTGCGCGCGGTGCGGATGCGGATGCCTCGGCCGTGCCCGAGGCTGGCCCGTCCGTCGGAGCGAGCCGCGTCCAGGTCCGCCGAGATGAAATCTCCTCGCCGCTGCTCAGTCCCTCTTAGGCTCGTCCGCGTCGGTCCGTGGGGACGCCGGTCGCATTATCGATCGCACAATCGGCACTCGTCGGCGGCGGATTCCGCGCGATCATCCTCGTCGCAGTCGAGCCGCGATTCGCAACGACCAGCCGCAGCAGCACTGTTCTGTCCCCGCGCACGCTCGTCGTCGACGACTCCTCCTCAATCGTGCATTCCATCAATTCCAGCGGCGACGGGCGATGATCGGGCCGTCGTCTCGCGGGCATCGACAGGCGAGAGAGAAACAAAGAGAGAAAGAGAGAGGCTGATGATTCCCGGGCACGCCGGCACGGAGTCGTTTAGGCAGAATTTCTCTCTCCTCCGTCTCTATTTATAATACAACCGGCATACAGCAGCAGAGATGAGGAGCGGCGTAGACCGACGGGAGACTCTTGGTGAGAGCTGCTGCACAACTCGCGTTCTCCTCTCGGCGAGACGTCGCGACCAGACGCGAGAGACGAGAAGATTATCCCTCGTAAAGAGGTGGGTGTATGTGTGTGTGTGTGTGTGTGTGTGTGTGTGTGTGTGTGAGTGTGTGAGTGTGTGTGTAGCGCTCATATATCTATAACAGCAGCCGCTACATCGAGGTTTTAATCGAGGACGACGGAAGACTCCGGAGCGAAGAGCGAGAAGGACGCAGGCAATGACGGAGGAAGAGAAAAAGAGAGAGGGGGGGAGAGAGAGAGAGAGAGCGGCGTGTCGCGGATCGGATAAATCGCGCGTAAGCTGGCGGTCGGTCCCGCGGGTGGATTTCTTCGCGGTTTGCGGCCTGCAGCGCGGAAAGGATCGCGAGTTCCGCGATGCGCTCTCTCGGACAGGCGCCGGCCGCCTCGGAGTTCGAGGCGCCTTTCACTCTGACGCCGGCGTTGGGAGGCCGACGGCGATGACGCGCGTGTGGCGGCGCGCTGACGAATGGTCCTTGCCGAAAGCTGCGCGAGATTCGAAGAGGCGACGAGGATTGCCGCGGCTCTCTCGGGAATGCCGATCTCGCGTGCCTGCCTGCGTGCGTGCTTGCTTGCGTGCGTGCGTGCGTGCGTGCTTGCTTGCTTGCTTGCTTGCTTGCTTGCTTGCTTGCGTGCGTGCGTGCGTGTGTACGTGCGTGTGTGTGTGCACTCGGTCGGTCAGTCGCTCGTCCGATCCTCTTCCGTTCTTCTGCTTTTGCTCCTTTCCTCCTCCTCCTCCTTCTTGTTCTTCTTCTTCTCCTTCTTCTTACGACGCGCTCGCAGGGTGAATGACACTCGCCCGGAGCGGATTCCTAATGGCTCTCTTCGCGCATTTCATTTCCTCGCGGTGCGTGGCCACTCTCTCCCCCTCTCTCTCTTTTCTCCTCCTACTCCCCTTCGCTCCTCTTCGGCCACCACCGCCTTCACCGGCGCATCCACGTCGCTCGTACGCACCGTCCCGCAGATTCGTTCCCGTGCACGCGCATCCTGCAACAACAACAACAACAACGAACTGGATTTTTGCTCATGGCGAAGACGAGTTTCCCGGAGCGCCGGAGGAAAGCGCGAGAACCGGACTCCCGCTTTACTCCGGCCGCGCGCCGACTCGGTGAAATTCGAGCGAATCGATCAATCTCATTCCTTCCCCTCCCCCTCTGCTCTTCAGACGTCGCGAAGCCGCGAATTTTCAAACTCAACTTCGACTTTTGTAAGAATCCGATACGTAACATTCCTCGACATCCCCAGGAAGAGAGAGAACACCGTCCAAGCCGCGCTTAAAATACATCTGAGGAAAGTATTCTATTTGTAAAGAGATTTTTCCCATAGTCTCATATTCTAAGCGAAGCCTTTTACAGACAAAGGATCTTTCGATAAAGCGATTAAGGTGAAGCATTCATCCCAAATTTATTAGATATTATTCGAACTGTTTTCTTCTTATTTCAAGAAAATTTCCTCTTATATCAATTAATTTTCCTCTTATATAATATGTTGATTTGAATGTCGGCTTCTTTTGTTCAGTCAGGCTCTACCTCCAGATATGAGCGAAAAAATAACCATATGCTCATGGATCAAAATATTTGGAACGCTTTTTAAAAAAAGGTATGTGTGTTGCTGTAACATATAACAAAGATAATTTACCCGTATTTGGTCAAATACAGTTTATAATCTATTGCAACAAGTTGAATAATATATTCTTTCTTTTAACTACATTTCATACATTTGGTTATAATGAACATCTTTGCAGCTACAAAGTCCGTAACAAAACTGATTGGAAATTTATTTGTTATGATGATCTTGTTTCATTCGTGTCTACTTATTGTAGAACTGAAGCCAGAAGTACATCTATATATATATGAATATATTACTTTTTGCTATACGTTATAATAATTTTTTCAGATTAACTAGCATAACCAGTAAGAATAAAATATAGTAAGAATAAATAATAATCCTCTTAAAAAAAAGATTAAATAATCTATGTGTAAGAGGAGATTTATACTAAAATCAATAAAATTTGCATTATGCATATAATCCCACTAACTGTAAGAATAATGTAAAGTGTTTATAATATTTTCCTCTTAATCTCAGAGGAATCTTCTTGAGGCCATATACAAGAATAAAACCCTGCAAAATTTAGACGATTCCGCTTGTTCTGAAATTACTTTCTTTTGGGTATATTACTTTTCGCTTACATTATAATTCCTTTTTCAAATTATACCAACCAGTATAACCAGTAAGAATAAATAATAATTCTCTTAAAGAAAGATCAAATAATCTATGTGTAAGAGGAGATTTATATTAAAATCAATAAGATTTGCATTATACATATGCAACATACAATCCCTCTAACTTTAAGAATAATGTATTTATAATATTTTTCTCTTAATCTTAGAGGAATCCTCTCGAGGCGATAATGTAAGAAAATCCTCTACAATTTAGATGATTCCGCTTGTTCCGAAATTACTTTTTTCTGTATCCTCCTCCGTCCTTTCTCAAAGGGAGGGAGGGGGGAGGGGGGAAGCGCGCAAACCTCGGAAAAGCGGCTGCCGCGCGTATCGTCGCGTCGCTGACGCACACGTACGTACGCGTGCGTGAATGGCCGTCGGCGTCGGCGTGGACAGGTGTGTGCGTCGGCGAAGGAAAGTGCCGGCTGCGAAGGAAAGCGAGAAGGATAGAAGACGTGTACTGTGTATGTGGGGGAGGGTGCGAGTAAAGATAACGACGCGACTAACCGCCGCGTCGACGCGATAGCCGACGGTAATCTAATAAAGCTGTCGAGCGCGCGCGCGCGCGCGACTGCGGGCGGCAGGAGGCGCGTTTCCACGTACTCGCGTCCGCCGGGACACTTGGACAATCCCAGGACGCGCGGGCGGACATAAATTCCGGGTAATCGCAGAAACGCGGCGTTAGGAGCGGATTAGATGGACTCACTCCGCGCGAATTGAAGCCGCGCGTCACAGCCCGACCTTTCCCGTGCTGGTTTTATCCGCGCGCGCGCGCGGCCGAGGTCGCGTCTCTTCTTTCCATCCTCTCGCTTCATATCCCGTCGATATCACGTCGATTGATCCGGCTCCGCAGCTCCTGCAGCCAACCGAGAGAGCTAACAGCTCGTGAGAATCTGAGACGCTGCCGAATGAAAGGGCTCGCAGGCCCCGGTATCGATGCTCGTTAGTCGGAACTTGTCCCGAAGCGAAGTGGTCGGATGAAACGCAGCTGCGGTTTACGGTCGCGGATTAAAATTTGCAGTTGGATCCGATTCGATTATACCAGGCACGCGTAGGGATGCAACGACAAATATCGGTAATATCGAAATATCGATATATCGGGAGACAAATCTCGAATATTTATCGATATTTTTTGTCACCGATAAAATCGACATATCGATATGAATTTTACTGATTTTCGTATTTTTCAGTTACAGCTCGGGGGGGGCCTATTACGGTTCTACGACCGAGATGAAAATTACAAAAGTGAGTGAATTCACTAGAATATATATTACGTAATTGCTCGATGTCTAGTAAATCCGCTCACTTTTAATTATAATTTCCACCTCAATCGTTGAATCGTAATAGCTCTCCCGCTCCATGTGTGATCTCCGACAAACGACTGCGGTTCATTATATATTTTCTAATAAGAACACGACAATAAATTATATGAAGATGAAAACTTTTAAGAGATCTTTTCAAATTTTTCGTGCATACCCTTTATATGCATACCCCTATATGTATACAATTTTTTTTTTATAAAAATATCGATATTATCGTTATCGGTGGTTGTGAATGACGATAATATCGTCGTCGATATTTTGAGAAATCATTGCATCCCTAGGCACGTGGCGTTATAATTGCAATATCAATACGACCGAGATCACGTCTAACTCCAAAGCCGAATCTCTGTAGCTCTCGCTTGAGACGAGCCTCAAACAACGATCATTAAGACCGGGCTGGAAACACTCGAAAGCGAAGCTTCGCGGAGCTGAGTCGACAAAAGCCGCGAAATTGTCCGAAATTACGGACCGCCCATTTCGCTGCGCTTGGTCGAAATTCTAACATTCGCGTCCGTGTCAGCATAAAGTTATATCCTCACCGCGCGCGAAGAAGAAACTGCGTTTGATATTCGTAACTGTAATTGCGCAGTGTGATATCTGTGATTACAGTCGGAAGAAGCATTTCCGCAGCAAGTGCCACACTATCGTGCCCGCGATAATGCGCGCATTGCTCATCGGCAGTGGCTTTCGTCGGAGCGATGAAAAAGCGATGCTTCAAAATGACTTCTCCGATTTCAGCGAGACCGATCATTTCTTCCTCCTGCCGCGCTGCGCCGCGCCGGCGGGTGCACAAAATAAGCAGATTTACGCGAGTCCATTACGTCGCATTGTTCGCACGGTCGGATCTGATTCCCAGCGCGACACGTCGCGCCGGCCACGCGTCGTCTACATTTGCATTTGTATTTTTCGAATGACGTCGCACGCAAATGTTATTGCAAATCGCGTCGACCGAGCGCAACCCGGCATTCAAACGTCGCCCGACACACACACACACATACACATACACACACACACACACACACACACACACACACACACACACACACACACACACACACACACACACACACACACACACACACACACATACACACACACGCACGCACGCACGCACACACGCACGCACACGCACACACACGCATACCGAGTGCTTTTGGAGGACAGCGTGTTTTAGCAACGAGCGTACAACGAGCACGCAAACGTCGCAAACAGAATTGTTTTCGAGGAAACGTAATTGGCGAAATAATTTTTCAATGATAGCGAGTAGGACGCCGCCGGAGAGCCACTTATAAATGCGACATTCCCGATATACGCTCTGGAATGCGACGCCTGTTTTCGTGCCATTGTTCGCGACACGCGATACGCGACTGTAAATTGACGACACGATGCAACGCGCCGGGCGTGTCTGGATTCCCGAGCGCGCTGAAATACTATTTCGCAATTAATTGCGTGATATCGCGCCCGTTCTCTCTCTCTTTCGGAACTCCTCACGCGCTCCCGTAATACTCGCGCTCGGCACACGCCGTTAGTTTCTCGCGCTTAATTGCCTCTCCGCAAACGTAATTCCATTTCGTCGTTAATATCTGCCCTTCATTCAACACCGCGGTTTCCCCTCCCACGGTCGATATTTGTTTTCCCATCCTGCCCCTCTCCTCGTCGGAGTCGCCGTCCTCGACGATTCTCCAGTCGCCACCACCACCACCACCACCACCCGCGACCGCAATTGCGTAAATTTTATTAATAAGGCCAGGCTAAAGAGCGGGAGGGAGAAAATGTCAAACAGACAGAGACGGGCCGAGAAGAGAGACAGACAGAGACACACACACACACACACAGAGAGAGAGAGAGAGAGAGAGAGAGAGAATGATGAGTGAGAGAAAGAGCGAGCCGCCCTCGCAATTGCGCGCGGTTGCGCCAGTTCGTGACTCGACGCGGCGCTTCCGTGCTGAAATCGCGACGAAATACACGCGTACACGCGGGACGATAAATCAATTCGAACACCGCGACGATCTCTCGGGCGACCGCGAACACGATAAAACGATTCCGCCGCGAGAAGGGAAAAAGGAGAAACAGAAAGAGAGAGAGAGAGAGAGAGAGAGAGAGAGAGAGACAGGGGAGAGCATAAAGGGACAGAGGGAAAAAAAAAACAAAGAGGATCGAGTCATCAACGTCGCTGTCTCGCCTTTGAAATCTCGAGAGCACGAGCTGAATCCGAGAACGAAGCGAATAATATCGTCGCATCGCTCGTGTCTCTCCCTCTCTCTCTCTCTCTCTCTGCCCCGCGGAATTTTCCCGCTTTCTCTCTCTCTCTCTCTATCTCTCTCTCTGTCCATCTCTCGCGCGCGATACACGTAGGGCGAAATAGAAATTGCCAATAACGGCGCGGTGGAACAATGCGCGCCGACGTTGATATGCATTAAACGCGTCCGCGGTGTGTCAATCA